ATATATATGAACAATAAATACCTCATGTAGTACCATAAAGCCCACAGACAGGATAAGCCAACAATTGTCAATATAAAAGTAGGAATAACGAAATAATTGAGCATCATCCGCGGCTGTTGATTGATTGCGCCATCATACTGTGATGCCGAAAAGACTTCTGATTGGGCTCGAGAATGAGCAGTAGACATTTAGGTGAGAAATTAAATGACAAATGTTTGTAAGTGACTGTTCGATTTTTGAAAAAATTTTCAACTTCCTGTCGTAGACAAAGCTGAAGTTAAAATAAAATAAACTTGACCAAATCTTTGATAATAATGAAGAAAGTCCAGAAATGATTGGTGTGAAATATAAATGTAGAAGCGATATGAAAGGAACAAAATGATAGAAATAATTAAAAATGTAAGAAAAATGAGATTTAGACATAGTTTGGGAGGATCGTATGTAAAGTGTAGTAGAGAAGGATGACTAAACGATGATTAGTGAAGTTGGCATTGCTTGTTTGTTAATAGAAAGAAAATGTCTAAGCTATGACTAGTCAATTCTGAGAGCTCTTTGCTGATCATCTAGTCGACTTGCTTTATTTGATTTCTTTATTTGAGTGTTAAAAACACTCCGTAGTGATCGTAGTGAATTTTATACATTATTTATTCAGTTTATACTGATGGAAGGAAATACTTATTATTTATTCTTCACATTTGTCATCGATATCAATCAACAGTGCCTATTCTATTTTGTTCATGAACAAACAAATCAACAAGCAGGTAATAAGAGTGAAGCACGAAATGACCAAATGAGAAAGCTGACTGATTTGCAATTCAAACAGCTGCTCAAAGTTCACTTTAACCAGTCAAAACGATGACAATCTAGTTATGACAACGATTAACTAACTACACAATCCAGGTATTCGTTGCGATTTATATTGACATAGTTGAATTCAATCGACAACACAAAATTTAGATATCAACTCTGGTACTGCTTTGCTTCTTTCTTCCATGATCACGAAAACCGACCAAATTATGGGTTGGAAGTTTGTTATTCACGAAATAAACATTCACGGAAAATAACCTTGTTCAAGTAAAGTACAACATTTTAATACCTTAAAAAGGATGAAAATGTCTTTACTGTAGTCATAAACTTCATTTTATAAAAAATCAGTAGATGCTTACTTATGGAATGGAAATCATTTTAAGTCAGAAACTAAAAAGTACTTTATTTCGAATTTGCAAATAAGTATCTTTTGGCAAATCATTTAACACGAATGACATTTTGAAGCTGAAACTGTACATCTTATTTTTAAGACTATCTCTAGTACCTCATGAAACTGCAATGAACAATTCAAATCTGAAGTGACAATATTAAAAAGTCAAATATTCTATGAAAAAAGCAGAAATTATAACAAAGCACTTTTCATTTTTCCGGTGCAATTAAGTTTTTTATGCAGGATATCAAAAAAATTTTGTGTTATTGAAATTTCAGCAGTATAAGATGCGATAAATATTAAATGCATGCTGGAAGATTTCAGTGAATTTTTTCCACTCCAAATGTAAAAAAGAGCTAATTGCGACAACTGCATCAGATACGCAAATAGCACTAGTTCTACTTTCTTTTAGTGGAACCTAAACTATAAAACAGTGACTAATAAAAATCAACTAATATCTATTTCTTCTATCTCAAACTCATTTTCTTCATTATTTTCAGGAACTCTTTCATTTTTTACATGAGAATGACTTAGTGAAATATTTTTACTAACACTGGAATTCATTGATACAAGTACTTGATACTGTTCAATATTCAGCGATGGAGGTAGAATGAGCCGTATAAATGGAACAGTTCTGAAATTAATCATAAGAAGAAAAAAAGAAACACTTTATTCGTTAAGTTCACTAACGCAATAAATGGGTATTCCTCTCCTCAGTTTCAGCGAACAGAAAAAAGCAAGTTGTTTTTTTACAGAACATAAACATTTAAAGTATTTATCAGATTTTTTTTCGTCCTTATTAAAAACTTAAATTCTTAACAACCAAATTTTCATATCATACTAAAAAGGATAAAAAAATCTTAAGCACTGATATCTACTTGAATTAAAATATGTAAATTTTTTCTCCAAATCCTGAAAAACCTCATGCTTAAGAATGTTTCCAAAAAACAAAAATTAAAACTCACAACGACAAAAGCTCTCCATAATGCGAAGAGAAGGCAGCACAAATGTCAATTTTTTTACTAAATACTTTAAAGTCTGTGTCATAGCACTGAGGTTTGTAAAAACGATACATTTTTCCACCTGCAAATAAAAATTTTGAAAATTTCGCATATGAAACATTTTATTCTTTAAGTCCACTAACAACAATAAGATAATAAAAATTGTGTTGTGGGATAATAAATTGTAACTTTTGGACAAAAATTAAAGGAAGAAATATTATTTGTATTTGATTCATGACACGTTAACAATTTGGAAAACCATCAATAGTACACCGCAATTTGAAAATATTAATTTGTATTTAGAATCACATTGCCACCTTGTTTGTGAGTGCGTTCAGCATTATAAAAGACGACTGATCGAGCTGCCAACTGCAATATTTGAAGTACTAAAAGCAATATTTTTCCTTTTTCGACCTTCACATTTCAAACAATTTTATAACAATGACAGTATGCTTTGTTGAATATTGGAAATGATGAAATTCATTACATGAATCTTTATAGGACATGTATCTCTTTTAAGCACCAACTAAACAATAAGCAAATCCGATCTCATTTAAAAACGATCCAAAAGATTTTAAAGAAGTGAATTAAAAACATTTACCTCACCCACGTAAGACATGAGAGTAGAATCCATCCGAGTTTCCCAGCGACTAAACGCTGAATCGACAACACTAATGTTGTTGAGAATTTTTTGATAAGAGGACAATGAAGGAACAAAATTAGGTTCATGTTCGTGCAAAAACATAGCCAACTATAAATATATTAAAAAACCAAAGTGCATTAAGATAATTAATTTTCTCAAAACAGATAATTAAGAAAAAGAATTTGATGCAATACAACTCAAAACAGAACATGGATAGTTCAGGTAAACTAAAACAGGTAAAAACTCTCAAATTTCCTTACCTTTTCTCCATTTAAACCACATTTTTCAAGCACTTGGTTTATATCGTCTTTTAAAGGATAGTTTCGTGAGTGAGTTTTTTTCCGTTCAACATTTAAATATTTTTCTGTTTTTGAACAATTTTCACTAGCTTTATTACATCTATAATTATCATGGACTTCAATATCATGTTAAATTGACTAAAATAAATGAACATTGGCAAAATGAATCAGATAAAATGCAGAGTACTCGTTGGAAAAAATTTTTTTTTAAAAATATGATAATATTTCTTTTAGCTGTATAACTTTTAACAACAATAAGTATTCAAAAAAAATTACTGAATTTAAAAACTTATATTAAGAACCTTTTAGCGTAAAGAAGCTTCCCCAAGCAGTGGTACGAGTCAACCAGTGTTGAAGAATGAAGAGGAATGGTTTCAATAACTTTTTGGTTATCATCAATACATAAATGCATGTTATTGATTGCTGCTCTGATGTCACCTAAGAACGAATTATGTGATTAAATTTTTACTAATAACAAAGTAACATACTTTAAAACAGATAATCAAATTTAAAAGAAGAAACCAAAAATGTGCTAATCTTCAAAAGTCTAGATTTCCTGAAAGGAATGTTTTGCATCAAACAAGATTAAAAACCTTGGATGGCACGCAGAAAAATCAGGAAGAATTTACTAGAGAGGAAATGTTTTGCAGTTTTTGTAGCTTTCGTTATTATTAACATATTTGAGAAGGAAATTCAGCAGAGTCAAATATTTGTTTTAATAATGAAAAATGAAGATAAATACCAACCATTGGAATTTCCAGCAATTTTTTTAATTTGTAAAGGTGATATGTTTACTTTCATTAACAGAGCAATTCTCTGCAGCGCTTTCGATAAAAAAGTGACTGCTGATGCATTGAAGGATATTTCATCAAAACCCAACTGAACCCGAATATTTGCAGGTAAAATACGTTTCGGATTTAAGTACCAACAAGAGTCAACATCACTCATAATGAAAATATACATACAAACCGTGTTTCTAACAGTATTTTGTAGTACTGAATGTAGTATGGACGGATCTCTACAATTTTAAGCAAATAACAATATTAAAATTATTTGAAATAACTGCAACTACTTAAAGTAGTCATGACAGTCTCTCAGAAATGCTTAGCATTAAATGTAAATTAAAATCTTAGTAACATGTAAATTATTGAGAAAAAAACCAAAAGGCTAAAATTTTGTTCTCTTGATTATCAAAAGCCAATTTAATGAAACAACACTGCTCTGAAATTAAATAGAAGTATTACTCATAAAAAATATTTGGAAGCTGTTCAATAACAACAACTTTTTGTAAATTACATTCTTGCATAGATCCATAATCTGACAATTTTAAGAATTCGGCGAACTTTCGAGTCTGAAAAAACAGATATGAAATAATCAGAACTTAAAGTATTCTGAAGTTTTAAACTGCTGAGAATTAAAGCTTCTGATTCAATGAAATAAAATGCATATTCAGAAATGACTTTTGAAATATTTAAAGTTTATTCTTTCACGCATTTAGAGATAACACTTGAAGCGAGAGTCTCAAAATTATATGAAATTTTTTTTTGCATCGAGACATTATTCGTGTGGGTGATTTTTTCATGCAGTTTATAGCATCCTGCCTCTGAAGCAACATATTTCTAGCCCTATTATTCGTCTAAGAATAAGAATTAATTCTGAAAAATTAAGAAATTTTAGAGAAAGCTTGAAGGCTAGATATATAAACATAACAAACCTGGCTCTCCTCACATATTACTTCATCTCCATTCGGATCATAAAATAAGTCGTAAAAATTGGCAGTGCTCCACTCAGCTAACTCAAGTTTTAGCTCTCGACATAACAGTTTTACAGTTATCGTCTTACCACTACCAGTAGGTCCAGTGAGCAAAAGTAATTTACATTCCCGAGTCCGAACTAGTTTTTTCTGAATCCATCGTCTCACCTAAACCATTATGAATCAATCAAAAAAATCAGTTTTCACCTGTGCTCTTCCTGCGATATCAGAATAGGAACCTCATCAATTTTTCGCGGATTAACAGCCAGCTCCCAGAAATTTGAAGGAGTAAATCGATCAATCAAGGTATCCGTAATTTCTGAGCATCCTGATCTATAAGGTACTACTTTAGGAGAGGTCTCCCTTATATCTTCAACTTGGCAATACTTATGAGAGATACGTGTAATACGTGATTTCTTCATTGGCTGAAATGAAACAGTATCAAATTTAACAACTGAATCGACTTAAAAACTTAAGGTTAAACCTCATATTCAATGCTATCTTGAAGAAAATGGAAAATTACGCTTCTCATGCTATTATCGATGGTAGTATGAGTGAGTGTTGGTCGAGGCGGGTTACTCGATGATTCGAATGAGGAACAATAACAAGGAACAGATGCCATCCTGAAAACTTCTGGAGGACTATTTTCTGCACCAAGAAACACCAACATCGATGAAACTACACAACTCAAATAATAAAACTTGAGAAACCAGCTCGCGTTACATAAACTCTCGCTGCTTTATATCAGTCCTTGCGACAAATACTGTTCACCAAATATGGAGTAGATCACAACTTCGTGAAACATATTAACTGCTACCAGAAAATCTAATTCTACCAATTATCTCCACTAGATTAACAACACTCATGAGAAACCGAACCTGCCAAATCACTCAATTTGACCCAATAGCGCCATCCATAAACAGTAACTTCCTTTGCGGTACAAAGGAGTGTCATGAAATCTACACTTTTATCAATTTCCTTTGATTGGTGTTCGAAACTCATAAATATATGTATAGCCCTGACAGAGATATGTAGATACCTTCAAACAAAATCTCCCACTAATTTCAAACATTTAATATGCAGTCATTCTAAGGAACTGTGGTTGGTATGCTCAACGAGAATGAAGATTATTCTACTTCATGAGCTAAAGCTACTTTGCATAAATGTAGTACGAAATGCACAAACAACTCAGACGTCACTGCATACAAGTAAATATATTTTGTAGCTTTCACATAGATCTTAAATCGATCACATATAAGTAAATAAATATATATAATTTCAAACATGATGTAATGTGTGAAAAAAAAGCACGGTTGTCATGAATAATATAAATGTTTACAACGTTAAGTTAGAAATTTTTAAATACATTACTTATAACAGCTAAGTACTGTTCCAGTGGCTGTTGAAACATGCTAGTTACCAGAACTAAAAGTAAAAACAAGAACTGGAGAAAGTCTAAAGCTGACGAGATCCCACATGAACGATGCTGCGAGCTTCTGATCATGAATAAAATGCATTTCTGCTTCTGGAATCCAACTCCACACACATTAAACTGATGACGGAAAGCTATTCTCGTCTAAAAATCACTAAGTTGAAAGCATCTCACAAAAAGATTTGACATGAAGCGAAGATGCCAGTTTGAGCATGAATATAGTTTTAATAACGAATTAATAACCCACAAAATATTTTCAGAACTGAATGATGAGAAATTACAAGGCGATAAACTTGCAAAATATACAGAAATTTGCAAAAATAACATGTTTCAAAAGAACAACATATTTCGTGACAGATAAAATATTTAAGACAAAATAATAATAAGATCGAATCACCAATGGCAAAAACCTGATTTTTTTTCCACTCTATTACCAGCAAACATAATCAAACAGAATATTCTCTTTTGTCTACTAGATTATTTAAAACAATCTGTACAGGTTTCTAGAACAAGAAGGCAAAAAAGCGAAAATAAATGCCATCGATTCGGCGCTACAAAAGTTGCCTCTATATACATACGATGGTTTATGCAGTTACTTTTGGTTCATTCATATGACTACGAATTTTAGTTTACAATTCTTGTAAATAATGGCACAATCAGAATCTAACAAGGATTATATGGCCACTGATAAAAAAATAATTTAAAAAAATAAAATGATTAAAAATTTGAACATTACTGTTTGATAATCCTTTCTAATATGACTGAATATACAAAACCGAAACAAAAAAAAATCATAAAAAGGAATAAATACATACAAAAGTGATTTAAAAAGAATTTATCACTTTATCTACTTCGGCCGTTACAACCACAATCAAAAACATCACCATTATCGACTGCTACAGCACGATCCGCAACACATTCTACATGAAACCAACGGCGACAGTAATCACATTGCACCTTAATAGTTAAAATTTTAACCACTGCTTCATTTATATTTAAACAGAAGGGCACTTGAATTGAAAATTATTCCTTACAGATTGTTTCTTTCACTGCATTATTTCTACTAAACGTAGACAAAATCCCCAGCTTTTAACATAATAGCCAAACGAAGACGAAATCCCCCATCTTTTAATATAATAACAAGTATAACATACCCAAACAACATTCTCAGTCTGAGGTTTTTTACAGTTTGAACTGGAACCACACTGCTTATTAGGATCATGGAAAGCCCAATCATCGAAAGGCAATCTTGGTACTGTCTGCAACTTTTTATTCACAGGTTTCGACCTGTTGTGACCATTACTTTCACCCGACTGCTCTAAAACGAAGAAACATTTCTTTAGGAATGCATAATGACCGTTTAAAGTAAATACAACGATTCAAATCAGAAATTTTAAAAAAAAGCAGAACTTGCACTCATAATTAAAAATAACAAATAATGGAGTTGAACAGAAAATAAATCTAAACACCAAATTCTCGTTTTTCATGAAATGCTTCTAAAAAACTTTTTTATCATCTCTAGAAAATTATCGTGGTATCTGCAAACAGAAATGGCTCCATCTATGGAAATTTCACAATTTCCTTAATAACATTCATTTGTAATTTGATATCATCTACATCATCCTGTAAAATCTTAAGAGCAGTGAATCAAAAATTCAAGCGTAAACTGAATAAGCATTTTTTTTAAATAAAATTTCTGAACAGTAGATAACAGTGAATGAGAATACAAGAAAACGACTGACATAAATGATTGAAAGCAATCATTTTGGTGCTTGACCTCGTTGAGATATTGAACAAGTACAGAAAATTTGAAAATAAAGTGTTTTATTGAAATTTTTACATGTGTAGTAGAAAAAACAAAGCATAACAACCATCAGCGCATACATCAGTGACGAAATGTAACCCCGCCAAAGTTATAAGCTAGCACCAAAACCCTAGTCAGCTTTTCAAATGACTCCATTGCCTCTGACTAAAAAAGATATCTTTGTTTGCTTCATTAATAAACGAAAATTTTCAATTCAACGATTAAGTACTTTGTATGAAAACATTTTGCACACTCAATAATTTGCATTTTCTCTTCAAAAGCTACTTAAACAATATAAGACCATCTCCCATACTACGTCAACTTTTTAAGAGACGACAGATGTAAAAATAGTTCAGTATGACGCTGAAATACATAAATTACCACATACAGAATCAAAAATCACCCGCGTCGTGACTTACCACTTTCGCTGGACGATGATTCTCTTTTCTTCTTCCTACGTGTCTTTTTCCGAGCAGTTGTTGTTTTCTTGGGGGGTTTTTTCTGCGATATTTTACGACAGGTTGCAGCCGAATTCGCACCCATTCTACCTCTCGGTCTTCTTCCGCCACGACGGCTTGAAGTTTTGCGCTTTGAAGTTGGACCCCACCTACTGCATACAGACGAAGAAGAAGAGCTAGAAATTGAGCAACTACTGCTTTCATCATCCGAATACGGCCGTGGTTTTCGCTTCCTCATCATATCTAAGGCTCGTTCAATTTTTTCGGCTGCAGAAATACCTGTCTGATTTCCGGGCAATAACTGTTGTTTCTTCCAATATTCTTCCTGATTTTTGTCCCCTCCTAAATCTGAATTGGCAGTACCGTTACTAAATGAATTATTTTTGTTCATTTTCCTAACTTCTTTATTATTCCCTGAATTTACATTACTGACGCTATTTGACACTCGTCCACGTTTACTAGGACGACCACGCCTGCCTTTCCCTCCTCTACCAGATTTATTGAACTTGGGGAAGTTGGCATCTGTGACCTTTGGTAGTTTTTTCTGGACTTTCTTTACGCTAGCTTCTTCTAGGTCAGATTCGCTTCCACATTCTTCATAACCATTATTATTATTAGCACTACGAGGCTCAATAGTACACACCCTCCTGTAAAAAATTGTTTACTATTATCTTTTAAATATGAACCATAAATGCGAATAAAAGTCATACTAAATGAAAAGTTCTGTTTCTACTCTATAAACTATTACTTGCATACCATGATAACTTTGCTGAAATAACTACAATGTAATCCAATACTCGAATTACTGCAAGTTTCTTCTTCATTTTTTATGAAAAAGAAACACACCAAAATCTTATTAAATTAGTAATAAATCAGCTATAGCGATTCATCGAAAATTTGAAGACGAGAGTGTTTTAAGCCTTTTAAATCAAAAATTGATCAAATAAGTTTTAGTATCCTAGACAATGAAAATGTTTAACACATTTACAAAAAAGCCAAAAATTACCTAGTTTGTGTTGGTGCTACCATTTTATTAGTAGGCTGCTTAGCTAGATGATGCCAAGCTACTTCCGTTAAATCATTTAGTAACATAGCTACCTGAATCAAAAAACGAGATTCAGAAATAAACTTTAGAAAGCTAAACAGTAACAAAATTTATGCTCAATTCTATTTATTTAAAAAACAGTATCATCATTAAAGCTTAAATGAAAATTTCTTATTCTTGAAAGATAATATGGAAAGATTTCTGCAGCATTCAAATTCTCAAACAATTATCACTCTAAAAATAAACATTTTTCAGAGCACATAAGATATTGACTGAAATTGATCCCCTTCAATTTCATGATAAGGAACCTCATTATTTTTACGCCGTTTTTTAGTTTCCGGTTTTCCTTCTACTATTTCTGGAGCTTGAGTAAGGCAAAGAGTTGAATCCAAGTTACCATTCTCATTTTCTGCAAACATTCTTCCATATTTGCCTAGCAAACAAAATAAGACAATGAATACCATATTTTCCGCTAAATGGATTTAACAGTATTCTAAAACAAAAACGGATGTAAGAACATCAGTACACCAATATTCCTTCCTTTTTCAGTTTCACTTTTATCATGTTATGTAGACAGCAACAGCGAAAATGGGAAAATTGAGAGCAACTGGAAAAAGAAACAACTTTTCGGTGAATGATGAAGTGGCGAATGCGAAAGTTCCTGCAGGTTTGTTCCCTCTTTCATAGGTGATTCTTGCAGTGTCATCAATGAAGCTGGTAATTCTGAAGAGACAGATGTTGGTGTAGGAGGACGTTTTGGCGGACCGCAATCTTCAAGCAAATCTTCAGTCAACTCTTCTAAATCCGACAAGTGGTTATAAAGTGGGATATTTCCTGAAAATGAAAAACAACTGAATGATAAATTAACATATCTTAGAGAAAATCAAAGCTGATCCAGTAAAAATTAACTTGAATGTCCTCATAGAACAAAATTGCTTTCTTTAAAATTTTAGTACTAAATTTTTTGAAAAAAGAAAAATATCACAAAATATCCATGCCTCTATGTAAATCCTGCATGGACTTTTCCAATGAAATTGATGCAGATGCAAATTCCACACCAGGCACTTGGAAAGGTGATGCTGCTGCATGCATTGATTCAGGTTGTGTAGCTGTTGACAGAGGGAAATTCTCAGTCGTCACAAGTGTAGAATCGTAGAGATCACCGTCACTGAACTTCATAGACTGATTGACAGATACTACAGGTTTCGGTGGCAAAAGAACTGGAACCTGAGCCTGAACTTGAGCTGGAGCATGAAGTGTTGTTAATGAAGATAACGTGGAGTGTGAAAGAGGTGTGGCTGTTCGGGAGATACCAACAGCAGTGGTGGGTACAACACCGAACACTGCTGTTGTTGTCTTTTGTTGCAGTGACTGTTGTTGGTTCTTAGGTGGACTTGGCACCGAACTGTCACATTCCATTCGTTTCACACTATCAATAGCTGATGGAGTAGCAATTACCTGAGTTCTACAGCAATCTGCTATTTCTGTCGCTTCAACGACTTTAGGATCAACCGGATAGTATCGATGCTGCCGAACCGTTCTTGGTGGTAGCGCTGGAGCTGGTGAAGGCGTTGGTGGTGTAGGTACTGCTACTGTCACAGGTGGTGCAATTTGAGTAGCACGTGAAGCTGACACATTCTGTCCAAAAGGGTGTAATAGATGGCTACTTTGAGGATCCAGATTTCCCGTAACAATTCGTGACGGTTGCTCAACCAATGATACAGGTGCGGAACGTTCAGGAATGATAGGTCTCAATACGGTAGGATTATTAGAAGCTATTTTTGATGAAGATGCTTGAGGAGGTAATGTTGCACGCAAATGGCTATTACTAGCTGACTCAATAAAAGAAGCATCATCAGCGGCAGCTGCAGCCGCAGGAATCTGTGGATTAGCACTCATCCATGCGCTACTAGGTAGCTGATTATATTGCTATAAAAAATCATTATATCAATAATTGCATTACATAAAATCATAATTATATATCATCAACTCAGGAATTTTGCTTAGATGAAAACAATCTTATTATGCTACTCCAATTCTTTATTTTGAACAGAAAATTTTATTGACTTATTACACTAAATCCAGAAAAGCTGAAAATAATAAAAAAGTTACGGCAGTTCCAGCGACAACTTGTGCCCGCTTTTGTTGATGAAGGTGATGTTGCTGAAGTTGTTGAGAAGCAGCAGATGATGACTGCGATGGCCAAGAATTTGGTGGCCACAGAGATTGCAGATATGCAGGATTAAACTGAGGGAAAGCCGCCTGATAATAATTAGGGAATCTTTGCAAATTATAATAAGGATTTGCGGCAGCACCAGCACTGTTAGGATTCTGCCACGTAGGAAAAACCTCGATCGAGGGATTAATGGGCGTCCGCGACCTCCTAATTAAATTAATTCCATCATTAGCAGGTGCCTGCAAATACTCATTGTGAAATTACATCCCTAATCTTTATAATCCTTATTTTCCTTTACTTTTAACTCTGCATAATTACTAAAATGAAAAATTATCCAAAGAGCGTCTACAAAATCAGGTTGTTTTCATTTAGGATATCCACGAATACCAACAATGGTACTGACAACTTAATGCTATCTCCCATCAGAACCATAAACCTTAGCTTCCTTCTTAAATCAGAAATATTTCCCGTACACTTTGTTTCCACATGTTAATTTCAGTCTGTCGTTGTTTATAGTAAATAAAACAAGCAAACATGAGATTCGCAAGTAGAAAGTGATAAAAGCAAAAAACAGCAGACAGTGGTTATTGAATTTCACATGAGTAGACCACAATAATTTCTCACGCTAGGAATGAATACAAAGTGAAATATCTTAGTGACGTTAACTTGCGGTCAGTATGTATCCAATAATACAATAATATACAAATTTATTCATTCATCATCAAAAAGAAAGATACATGTAAAACTTACCTGTGATGTTAACGATGAATCTTGCCGTATATGACCTTCAATTGTAATTGGACGTCTACGATCAGTAATCCGATGTTCTGGCGCTTCCTCAAACTAAACTTGAAATAATGAGTCTTGTTTGGACAAATGATAACGAGTCTAGTTTGAGAAAATACACTTTCTATTACTATAATTTTTCATGAAATAGTACATCAATTGAATGATTAAAAAGTGAAAAAGTGAAAGAAATGTAAATTATTTCACAGAGGAATTTACCATTCTATCAAACACACTATTTTGTAATTTTCGGAATTATTAAAAATAAAAACGATGTGCTTAAACGTACAACAAATGTAAATTCAGCGGCAGTTTGGGGCCCATAACAACCTGGCTTGATGGCCGCACCATTGACATGTCCAAATTTGATCACATCTCCTTGTTTTAATTCAACTTCACCAACTACCTAAAATATATATATGTAGTTCAACGCATCGTTTTCATAGCAAAAAAGTTATAGATCTCAAAAATGAATATATACCAACCCTAAAATCGTTAACAAAAGTACCATTGAGGGAATGATCTTTGATATAACAAGCATATCGCTCTCGTTTAACCCTCACAAATATTGTAGTGTGTTCTCTTGAGATCATATTACTGAAATAAAATTAGCAAGGCAAAATGAAAATTCGATCAAAATTAATAACAAATTCTTAACCCGCTTTCTTACGCACTGAAAAATTTTAAAAAACAACATTATCACTGCACCAAAAAGACTGAATTTTCTTCGACATTTGGAATTAAATGCGAGTAAAAACACGAAATGTAACAAAATTTGAATTCCCAATTTTTTTTCTACTGACGAAAAAGAAGCGTAAAGAGGAAAAAAATGATAAGTGAACTTTTAAAAGTGTAAAATAATCTTGCCAAACATACGAAGATACCTGTGCACTTTCGAAACCAGAATTACATCAACCATGTCAGGATTCCTTCCAATTCTTGTCGTTTGGAACCTATAAAATGTAACACTAATCATTCAGCGCTTAAAGTTTACTGAAATCAGCTTTTAAATATGCCCTTTATGATTTCAAACAAAATTTGTGTAGTATTATAATAAGTCTTAACCACCCATCTCACTCGGCTTCAAAGATATGTACATACTGCACAAGTCTACTTGACTAAATTAGATACCCCATCTGTTGAAAACAACTTTTTAATTCGACGTCAAGTTTTCTTGCCAATACGAAATGACAAAAAGACTTACAGAAGAATCGCTTCTTCTGGTAGCATTATTTGCGAGTTTTGATTAAGATGCAAACGACGCAATTGATACATTGTCATTATAACATAATTTTTTGATGCGATAGTTTGAAACTATCCTTCAAAATAAATAAAATAAAACCAAGATAATGAGAATTCAATTTCTTCATTACTTTAACAAAAAAAACTTTTTATTTCTTCACTGTAATTTCAAATGCTATTTAGACTGTAAAGCAGGGGTTTCCAAAAATATAATAAAATAAGAACTGTATCTTATTTTCCAAGACAAGCTGCGGATAAACTCGTCAATATTTTTTTTTTCGCATTCTGTGTCAAGAATTAAAAATGCAAAAATATTTCTTTTGCTTAATTCCCAATCTCTGACATGTTAAAACATGTTATGAATCATAGAAGTAACAAAATAAATTATGAAAAGCTATTAGAATTTCAAACGAATGAAGCATGAATGGACAATTTAGTACTTTGTCAAGTAATCTAAAGGATAAATTATGAAATTTAATCAAAGAGTGACTGATGGTAATAAGTAACTTACTGTCACAGATGAGTGACTACGTATTTCTTCCTGTTCAACAAGTGATACTGGAAAAAATACAGACTAATTACAAATAATTACGTGATAAAAATGATGACAAAATAGCGAAAAGTCATCATGATGCCAAGAAATTGACCACATTACTATAAATCGTCCCACCTCATAGTTTTTGTCAAATCTGCCAATATAAATGCAAGTAGTTTTTCCTCTACAAAATCCTCGTTTAGTTTAAAACAATTAGTGGCAGTCAGTCACATCTCCGCCTATATACGAAATGAAATATCGATGTAAAAGTCCATATTACCATAAAATTTGAAACACACATTCAGATGAAGTTAGAGAGAAGTGATAATATTCAATGAACCTGTGGCAGTTCATATGAAATTTTCAGACATTCTTGTAATCAGTTACGGTAGAATTGAAGAATAGAACCTTTGCATGGCGTATAAACTTACGGCTAGACAACATTCAAAGCTTAACAAATGATGGCAATATGATCAAAAACGCAATTATAAAAGTTATAAAGGATCGGTTCACTCAACTTGGCACAAATACTGAAGCAGAAGGAAATAAAGCTTATAAAAATAAGGGAGTATTCCAGAGGTCAATACATAACAAACAAGCTAATTATGCAGCCAATTCGAAAATGAACTTCTGCCAGTTCATATGAACCGAATCTATGTCCCGAACATGGAAAATAAACAACCTAATTAGAGAAAACAATTTTAATATTTTGTTTACAAACATGTTCGAGCTCACATTTCAAACAATAGCACAATGACACTAAAGTAGTCGCGGAATGAAACCTGAGATCCTCACAGTAATATGCCTCAAAATACAGTACGCACCACAGTACTCCTGGTGGATAAAAACCTAACTACAGTCAGTGAAAATTACTCACCAAGTACTGTATATTCAAAGGGGTACGGTGACAATGGTAGGCTAAACCATTGTTATTTCGGAAAGAACGGGGTAGAAGAAGATATGACTGACAAATGCAGAGGAACGTGTGTTAAAGGGAAGGAAGGGAGAAAGGAACTAGAGCGGAAAGACTTCAAGTACTGCTGGTCAACTTCCCCTGCTTGCATTTAGCAAGAATGCTGACGGCGGAAAATATTGTGCTTGATCATTCGAGAGATTAAGCTCTCAAATATGTTGCAGATTTCAAGAAGCAACGTTGAGTGAGTGCGAAGAGTACAGCACATTGCTTGTAGTAAACTGTTTTTGACCATTTCTTTAACTCTACAACTATGCAAGTCGGCGCGCAAACCCAGACTAACCCTAATTTCAAATGAATTAATGGTGAACTAATTAAACGTGTAATTGCAAGGTAAGAAACAATGCAGTATGAGATTGTCAAATGTTCATGGAACTTTTCAGACAATTACTCACTTAGTAAACGAGTAAATGTCTAACACACTATCATATCTAGTATTATGCGTCAAAAAAGTGGAATTTATATTCGTTGCTATATCTGTGCGCAAGTGCAGTTTATACTCATTGTAAAATGAGAAATTAATTGTTGTACAATTTAAATGAATAAAATAAAGCAAAAAATGTCAAGTTGCGCAGAATACGAGAAGACATAAAGGAAGCAACGACCAGTTACACGTAGATTTAATATGTAAACGGGAGCGCAACTGATATTCCAAGGTCTTTTTGATGCTTGTTGTTTGTGTCTATTAGAGAGAAACTCCGGAATATCGTATCAGTTACTCCCTCATTCAGTTTTCATTGCTTGGCATTGCATCGCTCCTCAACAACAATCAGTCGTGGTCATTGCTTTCAGCTAGCTGATAAGAGTTAGTAAGAGGAAAAACAAATAAATGTACAGGTTCAAGCAGATGTGTGGGTAAATAGACAGAAAGATACATCAGATAGATAGGTAGATAGATAGATAAGAAATTAATAGATACATCGACCCCGCGTATCGTTGATGTTCCAAAAGGGAGAACTCTGACACGGCATAGACCTCACCACAGTTGTTGTCACTCATATTAGGAACAGTGGCTCATTTTGTCGCTAAGCTATTTCCTCTCAAATTTGCTTGATTGTGACATTGGCTAGAAGTGATTTGTCGATTGGATTGGTTCTTATCTCATTACTTTTGTCGAACGATTTTCGGTGTCATCCAGACATTGTAATCTTCTTTCCCATCTTCGAATAACACATGAAGCACTTGAATCAAAGAACGCCCTCTCACTATATCAACTTGCTAGTCAGTTGTACCGAATTTTAATCGTTGACATTTTCCGAATTTCATCATACAGTCTACGTGTTGCTGATACACTAATCCCAATACCGACTCATAAATGTACCAGCTGTTTTCAAATAAACGATCATGTCACGTAACTCCTATCGAAATAGCGACGGCACTTCCCTTGTAAGCAATTATCGCATATAATCACAAGAAACTCACCACCTGTGTGGAATATAATCTCCAGCTCTCCTCTGTCATAGCATAATTCGATTGATTCCTGTCATAATCCTGTTATACTAAAGACGCACTATTAATGCTTATAGCCTTTAAAGATCAGCAGAGACCAGACATATATGCAAGCAACCAGCCCATCACGTCGCACATTTGCAAAACAACGTATGGTCCACCAGAAGTGCTGAATATAACGAAGATACTTCAATCGCATTAATACTGAAAAACTTGACACTTTCCCCAAGTAGTAGTAACTACAGACTGATCCAAAATACTTTGGTAGTCAGTTAAGAGATTTTAGATTAATGGAAATAGATTATCGGCAAACATCTCTCGGATGACTTACAGATCACGATGAGCGCTCCAGCGCAATGTATTTATTAATAATTACTCAATCTATAAATAACAAAATATTATTATAAACAAAATTCACATAACTTCCTATTTATCAGTTTGTATTAAGAAACTCAACATGACTTCATGAACGACTCAAGTCAGCATCAATGACTACACTAAACATGGAAATTAGAAACAAGAATTGAATTCACATAAAATACTCAAGGGCCTAGTGGGTTACAGTGGACAACATATAACCAAGCTATTTGAATTAGTCAGAAGGAACTTTCGATTACACCTGTTTTTAACTTCTCGACACCACATGAAATATCTGATACTAAATCTTCAACTCTCAATACCACAAAAACGTTAAAATTAGCACTGGACAAAGCCATCCTGTTACAAGAGGATCGGGAAGTTAAGAAAAAAATCATTAACAACCATCACAATAAATGAACACATTACAAGCTCCGTCATATTCAAACATAAAAATGCAAAAACCATACCACCATAATACAATTAAAATATCGTCCAAGAACTCAAAAATAAACTGCTCTACCACAGACACAGCAGTGTAAAATCAGTTTTAGCAGGGTAATACCCGCACACCTTGGCAAGAAACGATATCAGGAAACACGCCCATAACAACTCAATATTGCAATATGACAGACAATACCATAAATGGAACAGCTTCAAACAAACCCATACAAGACCAAATTAAAGCACCTAGGAAAACACTTCACCTAATAAAAAACACAAAAACACTGAATAAAAATGGCCGACGCGTAATTTTTAGCACAACTACTCAATGTGATGCCAACGACCTTATGAATGATATGCTTCGTAATTTTTTACTTTATAAATAAACGCTAACTATGAATTCAGTAAGCATAATTGCAATTACGCAAAATATTAGTATCTGGAAAACAAACACGATGGAAACTGATATCCAAAATAATTTACGATGGAAATAGGACCATTAACATTCATAAAGTCGAGAAATACGAAATACTACGTGATTAATGTACAAAAACAACATGATAACTTCATGCAGATACATCAGATTGATAAAAATATTCTTTCCAAAGTCACAATTAAAACTGTATAAAACTTCGAAGTTCACTGATATCTCCAAGGAACGTTATTGACAATCCATTTCAGTAAAGAAGACGTCACTCCTACATTTTTTACACATAGAATTGATACAATTTTAAAACCACAAGCAGAATATAAATAAAACTCTAAAATAAAACAACTTCCCTTAGTAGCAAAATCTAGTAAAACTGTACTTCATGCAGAGAGGGGACAATTTAGCTCTCACACCATATGTTAATACAACGAATAAAAATTAAATAACTGAATAAAACACAAAATGAGTCATAAATTATTCTTGAGTTTATCGAAATTTCAAACATATAAAATCAATCGTAGTCATTGATAGTAATAACAAGCAGTGAGAAGTGGGAAAACATAGTTTTGAAAGTTACACAAGTTTTGTCTCGATAAACTCAATGAACCATATATATATATGGAGGAAGGGAGAAAAAGAGACAATAATAAGGAACACTAAAACAACAAAAAAGGCAAATTAATGAAGGCTAATCAGTTAAACAATTATCTACCTTTAAAATGTATTCTGTTGATATGCATACTACATTTTTAATAAAAGACCTACATTTGACAACCGGATTTAAATTATGTTAAAAAATTAAGACTAAATCCAAATTAACATAAGATGAAACCTAACAATTCCTGAAATACTGAACAAATAACCATAGATGAATTAAAATCTTGGATTAGCAAGCAAAACAAAAGAAGACAAATACTTCGACTCATCCATTAAAACACTTTGATCTTGATCACAATGTGGGCTGTTCTTGAAGCTGTGGTGAACAGCAAACTTCCAATTTCAGACATGATATTAGTACCCTGATCGATGACACACAATACATTGGTTAAGAAATGAATCAACTTTTAACAACTTCTCTACAGACATCGATATTCATTACACGTTTACCTGAGTTTCACGCGCTTGACACTGTCCCAAATCAGTTTTTGAATCCTGGAAATCATGATCACAAATTTACAGAAATTTCTCTTGACCGATCAAAAAATCGAAAAAAAAAGAGCGAAGATCTTTTTGACAAGTAACTCGTTAACTTGCATCATGCGCATCAAAGCTTTATACAATGACTTTTTTGACTAATTTTCAGGAAAAAAATAAACCTGCTTAACTACTGCACCCTGACATGTTTCTAACTGCTCTGTTTGATGACTACCGCAAAAAGATAATCCGGACAGATTTGCAGCGGAACGTACAGTAACCATCGTCCGTCGAACTGGTCCACATATTACTTGCTGAGGTTGAGCACGTTTCGCAATCTCCTTAGATTGCAACTGTTGTCCTTTTTCCGTTTCACTCACACTCAGTATATCGCTATTATTTATTTGATCAGGCACCACGTTAACGGCTCTATTCATAAGGTATGAATGCGAATCAACATCGATCTGAAAAACCAGTCTTCGTAATTTCCATTCACTTGAAATGATGCAAAAAAATAAATATTGGTCTATTAGAGATTGCACTAACATAGCGTGAAACGAGGCAATAAGAAAACACAAATCTGAAGGAGAAAAATTTACCCCTTGCAGAGGTAAGAGCTGCTGTGGAGTCAGAATTGGTGGAGGAAACATGTGAGGGTAGTATAGCATTCTATTATCAGTAACAATCCGATGTGGCTGAAAAGAGGGTAAATGCACATCAAGTTGTTGAGCTTGTATCAAAGGCACTCCATATGGAAATCGTACTGGAGAAGCTAATGGCATCTAAAAAAATTATCTAATAAGCAGACTGAAAAACTTGCAGATTCCATCTTAAATTGGCGTGCTGCGAAACCCTAATATTTAATTATCAAACTACAATGCAGAATAAAACAGTACGACATTGATCATGCTCACCATTTTCAGTAATCATGCAATGAATAATCGGGATTGTTGAAATACCAAAACCGATAGCAAATATAATTTTGAATACTACTTGAATATTATGTGAACAGACATTAAAAAGAGTTAATATGTAACTTGTCATAATTGCAAAGCTAAGAGGATTACATTCTTAATTATTGACATTTAGGAACATTGTACCTCTAACAAAATTAAGAGCAATGATTCACACATACCTGTGGGACGTGGACAGGATAATGCGTAGCCCCATTGCTATCATTATTTATGAAAGGAATAGTCGAGGCCGCGTGATGAACAACGTTATAACCATGACTTGGGACTTTACGCATTATTATCTTCTGCACATTATTCAATTTTCCACTGTTATCATTAGCTTTTGTTTTATTAATTTTCGATATAAAAGAGTGCTCTCGAAACGTTGCCTCAACTTTTGCTGTAACCATATTGCAATTCTTTTTCGAATCCATCATTTTCGCCGGATTGTCTTCTGCCGTCGTGTTTTTTGAAACCTTATTTTTCGGTAACCGTTGCATAATTGACTGCTTATCGATCAATTTATCTTCTGCAAGAATGACTATGGCGAAGTAAAATTTAAATGGCATAAGGATTATAATTGACACACAATGCATCACAATCCTGGGCTTGCCCTTCACAAACACATTGCAACAATCATTAGATACCAAGTTTAACACTTCTCAACCTTACTTGGAATATTAGTAAATTATGAACCAGTTTCTAAATTTCAGATAAACATAAAAAGCACTGAGATACCTGAATCAAGCTCATTTTGCTCTATACGAGCGCTCAATCGAGCCGCAACTATACGATTCATGACATTAAAGTGTTCCTGCATCTGATGAACATCACGAGTACTATCATTGCTGAAAAAAATGCCTCGCATTTTACAGCACAGGAAAATAAAAATATCTAATGTTCATTGCAGATCGAACACTTTAAAAATCTTTATAAATTGTTTACTTAATTAGTACATAATATAATTCAATAATAAAATTTAAAAACCGGAATAAATTCCCGGGAGTCTGCAATTTAGTTTCTGGCGCACCATTTTTCACCCAAGGATGTTTCAATACTTCATCAGCAGTGAAACGTTGACGCACGTTTTTAACCTAAGTATTACGAAAATTAAAAATCGAAAAGCAAGAGTTCCTGAGTCCAAAGAAAGATTCAAAAACTAACCAGCAGATGGCAAATTAGATCCTTTGCTTCTTTGCTGACCTTCTCCCATTCTGGTTTCGGAAAATCAAACTCACCTTGCTGGATACGCTTGAACAAACTTTCTTGACAATCATTACAAGCCAAACCTAAAATAACTGGCTTTATTTCGAAAAAAATTGCAAGACCGACCTTCAACTTTAGAAAGGCTGCCCACTATTCAGCAAAAATATATCTTTTCAAAAAAATAGTTGGAATAAGCAGTCAAAAATGTTATGAAACAGTCAAGATCTGAACACAACCAACCTTGATCCCAGCCACAATTTTCACGCCAGCATTCGCCATAAAAAGGTGGGTAACCACATATCATAATATAAACGATGACACCAAGCGACCACATATCACAACGTTTATCATATTTCAAAGCATCACCAACGAATGCATCCACTACCTTAAACTCCCAAATTCTTTATAATTTCCACCATTCAATTCACTGCAAGGTAAAGAATTTTTTTCACGAACTTGATGAACAAATATTGGCCTACTCAGGATTAAAAATTTTTTAAATCGTTACCTCTGGTGCCATAAATTCTGCACTTCCTACAGGACTTGCTAAGTCTGGCTCACTGTTGACATTGGTCAATCGTGGTGGTGATGGAACACTCGCTTTGCTCGCTAGATCGAGATCACAAAGCTTCACTGGGGTTACATGATCAATATTGGAACAGAGAACGTTTTCTGGCTTAACATCACGATGTGCAATTCCTGTAACAATTAATTACAAACTGAAGAATTACTAAAGGACAATTGCTAAAGTAGCTTAATTTGCACAAATTTTTGTTAAGTATTCTATAAGATAAGCAATTCGCACTAATTTAAAAAATGACAACTTATTTCACGAACTTAAATACCTTGCCTCAAAATTAAAGTAAGTTCTAGTCCGTAAAATCCCTTAGACCTTTATTTAAAATGCTAATCTAAAAGGTACTTTATATCTGAAAAATTACCACGATCATGCAAAAACTTGAGTGCCGTAGCAATATCTTTTGTCACTTTGCTCGCTTCTTGTTCCGTGAAAAATTTCTTGCGCTGAATATGGTCAAGGAGTGGACCTCCACGCATTTTTTGAAAGACCAAGTAAAATCGATCATGATCTTCGAACCACTGAAAGACATTCCATTTTCCGAAGTTTAAACCATATAACAGAACTAGGTCACTCAAATTTTAACTTGTTTGTGTAAATTCCACAGACTGAAGTTCCTTTCCTCTGAGAGGAAGAAATATAAATTGCTATTTATTATGATTTTTGCAAAAGTATAAACACATTTTGAGGAATAAAATATCCTGTTCATTATGACGTATACACTTTAAGACTTTGATCATATATTTGAGAGAATAGTTGAAATAAATTTTAGATTCTACAAACAAAGATATCAGTCACTTTCTTTCTTTAACTAGCTTAATATGAGCACAAAATCACAGCACCTCATGAAGCTGTACAATATTTGGATGATTCTTGCATAAATTAAATGTTTCAACTTCATGCATCACGCGTGAACGTGTATGACCAGCTTCGTGTTTATCGATTAATTTAATAGCAAATTCTTTACCGGTTGCAAGTGATATACCCGTTTTTACACTTGCATATGCACCTGACCCAAGATGATCATCCGCTAACTTATAAAAATCTGAAAAATATTTCAGAAATAGTTTAACAGTCGGTAGCTTGCTTCTGCAAACTTTAATTATTCACAAAATGAAATGCAGATAAGAACATTTGATAAACTTTGATTTGTACAACACATCAAAAATTTAATCAGAAATGGAGACAGATTATCTATTGAACTGTATATGAGAACCTGTGAAATGGCTTCGAGTCTTCTTACGATGTGTTTTGCAGCCTGACAAACTGTACGTAGACATGCCTAATGGGATTAGTTCCGCAGGCTGATCTTCGGATTCTGATTCTGCAATGCTCAGGTCGTCCAATTCGCCTTTCATTGGATGATGCGAAAACTTACTCGAAATGTACCTAAAAGACTTGCGGAATTCATGAGTTACACAAAGTTTATGAGCTACAAGACTAATATTTATACTTAAAGCCTCAACTTAAATATAAGTTTAAGAATTACCCGTGAGGTGAACTTCCTGTAGTCGCTTCCGACGAACAACGGCCACCGCTATAGCTCCCTACGGATGACGTTGTAATGGAACCTAAATTATATACATTTCGTTTCGCATTGCGCAATACGACTGTTGTCCTATTTTAGTTAGAATGAATACCTCCACAAAGTAATTGCAAAATTAAAGATTATTGTAAAAAACTATATGCTGGAAGAAAAATGCACTGAACGGTTTAGATGGAATATCCAAAATCATCAACAATATGAGCTAGGCGATGATTTTAATTTCACGGTTCGCCAAAGACAATGATAGCTGCACCTTTCAACAATGAAAAATATCAAGAAAAAAAGTTGATTTTTATACCAATTTTATCAGGTTTAATTTCCATTGCAAATGAAAATTAAAATATTACTTGAGAACAGCTGATTGATAAAAATTTGCAGGTATATTTCATTTAGCGAAAAATAATGATCTGCATACCTGAATTGCTTGCTTGGTGCCAGTGAGTACCATGCGGTCGCTTAGACTGAGCTAGTTGAAGCTGCTGGGCTACACCTTCACGGTGTTTATGCCCTCGCGGACAAAGCGTGTCTACTTGTTGTTCTTCGTCGTAGTCTGAAGCCAAGGGGGCGTCTAAAATAAGCACAATTAACATGAAACAAATATTTCATAAAGAAATTTGAATATAGAATGCTCCATAAAAGGTAAGAAAACAAAATCTACATATATCCATAATTACGAGACCAAGCAGACAACGGGAGAATACAAGCTACTGAGTTTGTTTCAAGCAGTTGTGTATGTATATAAAAATCTTTTTAAGAGAAGGGAAAAGAATGAGCAATATCTTGAAAATAACGTGAATTTTAGAGAATTCTGTTGGCAGTATATGTTGTCACTATTACTACATGGGTAACTAGCTTGATGAAGAATTGTGGGATAGAGTTAAAGAGGTAAAGAGTGATAATAAATTAAAAGAGATACTATGTTGGTTGTACAAATTCAGAGGACGGACACAGCAAAAGAGAAAACGAACTTTGTGGAAAGAGTTTGACAGCTGTTGATCCATAGCGTTCTAAGAGAAAATAATTAAATAGTTATGAACTATCGGATGGAAACGACAGAGAACAGGTATTGTAGCCAGTTGATCAAAAAGACTACGACATCTACACTTATGAAGCATATATAGCAATAATGATGATAGAAGTGCGGCACCAAATACAATAAAAAAAGAAAACGATGTCACGAAGGAAATCCACTTGCGAATGCAAATAAACGATACAGACATGACAATGCAAATCGGGTATATACATAAACATAAGCCATTATTCCATAAAGATGTCCACCAATCATGTATTCGTAAATTCGTAAATGTGGCCATGTATTAGATATGAACCAACTATGAGTCATTAATTTTCCATTTGACCTCATTTTCCTCTGTAGAAAGATGTATGCCGTCAACTGGTTGCACCACCATAACAAAGTTCCTCATCATTGTTAACCTGAACAGACTCTCATGTTCTCTTTAACATTCATCGATGTTCGTTGGAAAAGGAGTAAGTCTTAAAGCAACAATCTGGTTCCAGCAATTTTTTGTGAAGAAAATCACTCAATTTGAAAGCCATTTTTATATATCTCCACCTCTGAGAGGTGAACGCTAATCTTAAAGACAAGTCACGAACAGCAAATTTCTGCACTGACGATGCTCAACGCTTAATGAAAGAGATTTTCCCAGAATTTATTCAGGTACAGATAATTACTAATCTGTGCAATCAATTTCACTGACTACAAAAACGATGTACAGAAACAGTACATGTGTAGATAAAAAACTGTAAGCAAGCACCTAGAGAAGTAACACCTGCATCTTCATAAAATCACTCTAAATTAAGTCTTCTGAAATACTGAAATTAATATTAGTACATAAAATTTAGCGATGCAGAGCTGAATTAAGAATGAGTGAGTATAGTGAGTGAGGGTGACAGAAAGTAGGGAACAAAATGGCCATTAAAGCCAGCTACTGCTTGAAATAATTGCGAGCAAAGCTGAATCGCTAGTTCAAAAAGACAAAATGGCATGCGTACGCTGAACATAAGGCTGTAGAGACTACAGTGCGCAGCAAAGAGAGCACATGGATGGATACCAGACCAAGAACAAAGCGATCGTTGGTTGACTGAATACTGCCTTCACGATAATGCATCATCACTAACCCCCTTTTCATTGGCAAACAATTATGCTTGCTAGAGAGGATGCTTTCCACAACTCGTTCACTCAACAAAAGAGAAATCTTCTCAAATAAGCAACGTTATACTTTGGCCCTTCTTGTTCTTTTTTGGGATGCATTATATGATGCTCCACACGCACTGCAGCTTACTAAACAACTATCTAACCACCCCTTTAAGATCCTAGTTGTGCAGAGACTAAAACATTCAAACCACCACTGACCCAATACTTGACCTCTACTTAACTTACCGTAAACTAGTCAAACGCACACCACTATTTCTCTTTGCCTATCGAATCAACACTGCTAGTTGTTGACAAAAGCATATCTTCACTTTTAACTTATACTACACTATTACTATCTTAAAACTTCACAAAAACATAATAGATTTGAATCTTACCGAAACCATTTTCCATATGATCTTCGTCAAAGTAAAACATTGTTTCCAAGTATTAGGTAGCAAAATGTGTTTTTTGAAACTAAATCCGAAATACCCTCTATGAAGTCAAAATGTTTGCTTCAAACTAGAAGTATTGGAAACGCAGAAAATGATTAGAACTGGATCGTCAAATAGTTTTTGTCACTTCGGTTTTTCATTAATGATGCTAAACCAACAAACTAATGTCATCAGAATGAATGAGTGAGGTAGCACTGAGAAATAAACTGTTGTTTTGTTTCCGTCGTCGATACACAAATTGAGCAGGCTAATGTACCTGAAAGTTTTGTATATACAATTTTTTTATTCTTATCAGTTTTTGCTGAGTAAGAACAACAGCATAATGTAAACAAAATAATTTTATAAACTTACATGCCTATAACCACATTAACTGCTAACATGTCCATATTACAGACAATTTCCTTTTACACTGTTCGTGTAAAGAATGCTAGATATTCCTTTCCGCTTGCAAAAAAATATCAGCCCCCTTTTGTGACATTTGCATCATCGAGCAACAATAATTTCGAAATTTTATTTACTTTATTTTGTGAAGCAAAAATATCAGTTAACTAGGAATATGAAAAGTATATGGTTTCATTGACCCTTGTATTCTGAAACGCTTGAATTTTGTCCACAATTTCAAACTTAGATGGTGAGAATTTTTATCGACGGTCGGGCAATGAAAAAACAAACTTCAACTGACAACGTGGTAATGGACTTTACTTTTTAAGTTTACTTTTTAACTTTCTAGTCTTAGAAAATTAATAGGAGATAAAAATTTGACACTTTGACGCTAAAACTCATACTTATTATTATAATCTCTATACACTGAGAAAAGTATAAGTAGATAACAAAATTATATTCGTAGTATTTACAGATCAAAAACGAATGATAACATGTATATAATTTTGCGCGAAATCTCTAATGAACCAAACTTTATGAACAAAGAAAATAGAGTAAGAAAGATTACACAACCCTTAGTTAGACGGCAACAGTCCACACAACAGCATCTTCCAACACAAAATTCACCATGTTACTAATCATTAAAAGCTTCTACTTTTCAGTGTAATATGCTAGGAGGCAGCTAAAAAGGATTTTGAACGTTGCTACCATTATTTTCGCCCTAAACTTTAAATGACCAAACTTTTAAGCATTCTCATTACATTTCTGCAAAAACCCAAAAAAAAAAAATTTTCAAAATCATTAATTAGTGTGAAATCTAAGCTTACAGTAATGCAAGCTTTTATTCAAGCTCACACCAACGCTTGTGTGCTATACATACGTCCTTGCAACTATATAGAAAGCTTGTTCACTTTTAATACAACAGCATTTAGAAAGTGCACCAGACACACCAGAAATGAAAAAAAAAATAAAAAAATAAAAACTTCTAATTGTCGTCGCTTTTATTCGAAGTCCACAATACTTACCCGAATAATAATTTTGCTCGTGAAGATGATATATATGCGATAAAAATCCTGTTCCAAACTGTTGTTTATCGATTTCTTTGTCTGCTGCTCAAAAACGTTTAGAATGATTCGAAGGAATAGAATGGTAAATTTTAGAACTGAACAGTACAAACAAGCAAATGTCACAGCATAAACTAGCTAATTCCGTCGTCTGAACCGAATGCTTTCACCCACATGATCGCTATGATAACAAAGAGTAGAAACGACGAAAGTAGGAAGTAATTATGAGCCACTGAAAAGGAGTGTATATTTTCTTACAGATTACTTTGAATTTATCTGTTTTTCCCAACGGAATATAACCAGTTACTATCCACTAGTAACAATTCAACAACCACAATCTTGACAGCTACACTAGTACAATCTCTCTGATGATCCAGATCTTCTATAAATCACACTTAATCTAACTGATTGGTTCCCAATAACAAATATGCTTCTCTTATTTGTTATTCTCCCATAGATATTTAAGTTCTTTTCTTATGTAAAAGCTGAAACACACTCCTTTGCACCACACATCTATTGTAGCGGAATAGATTACGGCGATAGGTTACCAAGTAATATGCATAAGTGAAGTTCTGACATGATGGCATAATTTAAAACATACCTCGTTATGTCGATTTTCGTTTGTACGGTGATGAGAAATTAAAGCTAAATTAATTTAGTTTGAGTTGTTTCGTATTCGGATGAGTTCCACTCTTGCAATTACCGCGCTTTACAAGCAGTTGGATTCTCGTGACACAGCACTCGAATTCCTTTCTCCACGAACCGAACTCTGTAATGATCAACAGCTTACCGAAAAATAAAAATGGAATGATCAGAACAGCTCAAACTTGAAGACATGGAGCAATGTGACTAGCCAAATAAAGTGCTTTACAAAACTTCATGTTTATTATGACTGCAATAATCTTCCGTTTGATCACATAATCTGAAGCGGCCAAATAGGGAAGTAAGCTTCTAACAAGTAAAGTTCCATTTTTAATGCAAAGTGGATTATACCTTTTTTTTAGAAAAAAAATTGAAAGTTAAGATCTACCAATCGAAACAAGTTGAATGTTGGAAAGATCAAATGTGGCATATAAAGATACGATACAAATGGTAAACACTATAAAAGAGTATGGAGACGGTAAAGAAGTAAAAAGTATGCACATCGTCACAGAACTGATAACATAGCACGCACGCCGTGCAACGAGCAATACTGCAAGCAACAATTGCAAACAATGTTCCTTTCACTTTCTCTCCAAACATTATTTGTTCCTCACTTCACGTCTTTTATGCATACAACATTAAGGCTTGAAGATAAAAGTTAACCCCCACAAACTCATGAAATAGTACGTGCAATGGTTAATAATAGTAGAAGTATGATGTATTACAGTCCATCAGAAACGAATTATCAACAGTTCAAAACAATGTTGAAGCAGGAAATGCTCAAACTACCTAGTTCACATACATTTCTCTAGTCAGCAAGAAGCAATATAATAATAACGATTCCATCACAACCTTATAAAGGTAAATATGCCACAGACAAACAGGTGCATATATCTTTTACGACTTGACATGAAACAATCCTTTAATTAAATAGAGTATGCACGGGATTTCCAACATAGGCCAAGGTTCTATTGGGTATAAGCAACAGTGTGCGCATTTGCACCCATGTGCTTGCTCAATAAGGAGAAAAGAGAGGTTGTAAGTGGAAAAAAATGACAATAATTGAAAGTGTGAAGTGATCGCTGGCCTTTGAAATGAATGGTGATGATGAAATACATGTACAGATAAATACACTTTATTATCATGCAAAATTACTCCACACACCACAGTCAAACCTAATTTTTTAATCAGTTGTGATAAGCTTCACTAGAATAGTATGACAGCCATTAATGAGGCACATAAGTAGAGCATCAACTAAAAACTTTACTAAGGGTGAAAATGAATGGAAACTTTGGCTGGACAGAGATAGTTAGCATCGGAGATGTAAATCCAATATAAAAATAATCAAATCCAACGAATAAGAGTACCACAAACGAATGAATAATTTGAAAGCTAATGAATATATCAAGACTATACTGGATTAGACCAGCATTTTATAAATGGAAGCAAATAAAGTATGAGTGGAAGAGAACAAGAGTGATGAGCCTAATGATCCTTATTGAAAAACACGTGTTACCAACATACAAGTGTGACTAATAAACACGCGTCCACGTCCAGTCCCTCCATTGTCAACACGTCCACGTCATCCACGTCAGACACACATACCTGATTCGCTTCGTGCAAACTTAAAATTATAGCACACGAGGAAGAGAAGGACAAGGGAAAAGCAGTGGCAGCACAACACGACCATGCCTCAGACCCAACGCGCGCGCTACTACCTTTCCGTACATCACTGTCGCTCCTCTCTTGCTGTTAGAAAAGAGATCAAATCAGAGTTCATGTCTAACAATAGAGGAACCAGTCCGCAAAGAAAATTTAGTGATCATTGTTTTTATGTAGAGAGGGCAGTCTAACATGTTCTACGGACAAGGAAAAAGGGAAAATGAGAAAAAGCTAGTATACAGACAAGTGTGGACAGTAGAGATGGAGAGGAAGAGCAGCATACTTACAGAGTAGTCAGGAGTCAGGAATATTTAACCTCAGCTTTCATCCGTTTGCAATCATTATTGCTTCGTAATTATCTTGTTGATAGCAAGAAGATCTCTGAACTTATAAGCGACGAAATTCAGTTCAGTCAAAGATCAAACAGTGTCTATTGAATGATTTGTTTACAGTTTATCATGAAATTATTTCACGTGTGCACATATGTGCATGATTCATTTCGCAAGCTCGTACGCTTCTTACTAGGTCACCAACTAGTCGGCAACTTCAAAGCTCAGAAATCGCTTACATTCACACTTATCATCCAATTAATGAAGTGGATGACCTATATCACAAATTCTTTGCCTGAATGCAAATTTTAATTTCAATTTGAATGGTGCTAAAGAAATCAATTGAAAAATGAGTTATGGAGGCAGCGAAACAGAATAATTAAACAGCATGTAATCAGGCTGATTTGGTAGATCATGTGGGACAGGAGGAACTATATGTATATATATATTGTTTTGATTTGATTTATAAATATACTTTTCACTTGATTTTATAGCTTAGTGCGCATATTGACTTTTCGCATTTTTAATCAACTACCCTGAAGAGTGGCTTCGCATGTGTGGGTTGTCTATCTAGAAGTTATACCTGGTCTTTAGTTGTGGTACAATAAGTGATGAGTGAGTCTTCCTTCCCCTTTTTCAAAATCACCGACCTCGTGGTAGATATGGGCACAGTTATGCAAGCAGCACATATTATGAAGTTAGAGAAGCATAAGCTCACTTCTCTGTTCAGCATTATGGAGCCCTAGTTTTATCTCGTCCGTTGGCAAATATGGTCTCCCTGAAACATGCAGGTGGACTGTGAATTCTGTATGTAGTCTGGTATCATGTTCTATAGCTTTAGCGTCTTCCGGTCCCAGTATGAGCACTGACTACATTGTAATTGTTTATTAAATGGCATGCTCATTCACTTCCTTGATGAAGTTCTTATGATTTAGTGCAGTTCCTGCTAATCGCTTAATTCTCAGTGGAATTTTCGTTATGAGCTGACTTTTGTGGATTAATCTCTAATCTTACCTACCCTCTTCGACCATAGATTTTTTATCATCATTTGCAGAGATTTTAAGATCATCTGCAAATAGTAGTTTGTTCGTTATATGTGCATTCCCTGATCGGTGGCAACCGCCATTTTGGTTGTATCATATTTGAGCTTATGACTCAAGGACTCCATGCCCAAAACGAACTGCAGCGGAGAGAGACTATCACCATGGAGAATTCCCCATTGTATTCTTTTCTCCATTATAGTTTCTCCACTGCTTTTCAGTACAATTGATGATTGATGCTTCTCAAAAACCCGCTTATCTACCGTGGCATCTGAGTCTTTCAATGCACTTAACTAATCGTGGTACTTAATCGAACGTTTTTTTAATGCCATATCACGTAGTATGTAGCTGGTTCCCATGCTCTCTGTATACCTCCAGGTTCAACAGTGCCCGTTGTTTCGTATCTTGAATTAGGGCAACAGTTCTTAATTGGTTATCTGCAAGTAGCTTCCTCGTAGCAACATCTTATAGTATGAAACGTGTCATACATATTTTTGCCAACTTGTAAGGATTCAGCACAGGTCATTGGCTTGAAGTCATTACCTTTTTTTGAGACATCTTTTGGAATCAGAGTGAACAATTTTTTCTGCATAATCATGAAACAAATCCGTCTTAATATTTTATACAGGTCTCGATACAGGAAGAGGCAGCTTTTAATGAAACATTTATGAACTCCATTGGGGCCCGCCTTCCAATTTGATAAATAGATAGCCGTCTTCCCGAATTCGACTTAGGGATGGGAAAGTATCCTGCACCTTTTTAATATCCTAAGTTCCATGATAGTCACGTTTGAGAGCAAGTATGAGATTGATCTCCCTCATGCACTTCGTGACCTTCCCTAGGTTTTTGTATTCAAGAATCTTATCGGCCAAATATCCATTTATGGGTTTTGTGTAAGCTGTCAACCAGCCTTCTTCTCAATGTATGTCTTCTACCGGATTACCGGATGGCTTCTGCCGCCTTATCATAAGATTATTGAGCCACCTGGTATATTATATATGTTTAGCGTTGTTGAGCCACCTGGTATATTATATATGTTTAGAGACATTGCAATATATATATATATATTGCAATGTCTCTACTTTGAACTGTAAATATATATATTGAAATAATGTAAGTCTGAACTCACAAATACAGTACCTCTTTACTTTTACATTCATATATATATGAATGTCAGAATACGATCAGCGCCAGGATCAATAATGAAGAAAAGAAGAATTACTTCCGTGTGATATTGATTATATGTTTATATATATATATGTTGTTTAGCTGGCTTACGAGGATAAATGTGCTACTGATTAGACATTTAAAATCGTGTCCTGCTCTAAAACTCAGCTGTAAGGTTTCTTACTGAGATTTTTCTTCGCGCTGTTGTGCATAAATACCAGATGTTAGAAACGATAAGCAGCAAATTAGAGATTGTTAATAAGTGAATGTGCTGGTCATTACTGCCTTTTTTGCAGCGATTAGTGGATTGGACGTAGGTGGTAAAATATAGGACGGGTTGTCGTTTTCTAGTTAATCATAATCGATCCTTTTAATTCCCAAATATAATAATTACATGGTTATTACTTAGATGAGTTTGTGTAGAAGGGTGACAACTATAGAGGGGCAGTATTGACAATTACGATTCTGTGTCGTACAGTATAACTGATAGGATACTTACTACACGTACTTTTTATTTTCGAATTTTCTCACTCTTCAGTTTCTACTGCAGTGAAGAATTCGCTTGTTTGTCTAATTGCTTGTATGCTGTATTTCGTGAACACTTTCACATTCTCTGCAAACCTAAAAGAATTATCTTTTTGAGGAAGAACATGTCTCTGGTACGCTTCACTGCAAGTGATCAAGAAGATGGATAAACTGTGGAAATGAAATTTCAAGGGCTGAAAAATACAGTCGTGATCCGTTCAATAATATCTTCAAATTAGTGCATTCATTTCTTCTAGTTGTTCTAGACCTTCAGTTGAAAATTTATCAAATCAATCAAATATCACAAATTACTCTCGTTCTCATTCATTATAATTCGTGGAAGTTTTCTCATTCATTATAATTCGTGGAAGTTTTAAGGATTAATAAATGAGCATAAGAGAGTGACTCTCAGTGGGGAACAATTGTGTTTAATCCATTTTACTATGTGAGTGGTCGGCAACTCTTATTAGATCGTGGTGAGATGTACCACTAAAATGAATGGAGCGAATTCTTCCTTGTGCACTCATTCACTCACTCCACTGAAGTGTGTTTATTATTTATGATAAGGGAAAGACCAGTGTATAGTGAAGCAGAGGTCACGGTGTCAATTTAGAGCAACGATTGATGTTAGTGACATGTGACAACAAATGAAGTATATACTAGGCTCGGATAATTGAAAAGGTAGATTGTACTCTGCCGCGAAATGAAATACTTCTATGAATAATACAAGCACTTTTTCCTGAACATGCTTTCAGATGGCCATATACCAGTTGCATTGTCATGAGACAAATAAGAGCACGAACCACAATTAGTCTAATATCAATTTAGAACAACAGTCATGCGTGACATCTGCATAGAGTTTGTATCATTATCATTCGGCTTAGAAAAAAGTTATACAAGGCTTGTTACTCGTACTTATCAAAATTTACACTTTCCGATGTTTCTACAAAAATAGACAGATAAGGAAGGATAGACTCACAAATAATGGGAAGAAATTGGAATTCAGTGTATCAGACACATCACGCAAGTAACAGATATTAGTAGTACTGCGTGTATAAAGTGTTGAAGTCATGTACCCAGGTGTGTTAAAAATTGTTGTAAGGATGATGGAATAGAATTTATCATGCCTCTCATTTTAGTTATTGCTATGTACTTTCCTTGTTTGTACGTTTCGGTAGATGAACAAAAAGGCGGCGTAAGATAACTATGAAGCGAAATTCTGAGTGACTGTTTTTGAGCGACACAAACAGGTCTCGCTGACTAAACTGCAATACCCGTCACTAGCGATATTACATTAGCCGAAAGAACAAACCAAGGGTGGCAGTGGTAGACACCACTGCTACACAAAAGTTGTCAATAGGAGCTAGTTTCAGTTTAGGCGAGATGGAGAGATGTTGTGAAGAAGAGATGCCTTCAGAAATGGAAACTTGTTCACATGTTGCATTTTGTGCTGCAAAGAAGTACTGGTGGTTGTTCAACTCTTGTGAATGCTTCAAACCTATGCAGCACAATTCCTCTTTACCTAAGATCACATCACCAACTCCATATGTCATTGATAGCGACGCTGAAATCAAAGAGCCACTGATTCTTTGTTGCACTCAGGACATAGGGTTCACTGTGTAGAAATTATGGGTATATAATCATTCTTGTGGCAAAGAATAAATAAATAATTTACATAATGTCAAGAGAAAGATTAGGAACTTTTTGTTCCTGACATAATCGTGAAAAGGGGAAATATAAACAGATCAGTACTATAAAGATGCAGATCTTGACTCCTTTGTATGCCATCTTGTCACTTCACTGGTAATTTCATACATCTACTGTTTCAATTTTTCGTAATAGCCAATTTGAGAGGGATTCATTTGTCTTACTGCTTGATTGACTGATTCCACTGATTGAATGGGGAAACCAGTTTTCAAAGTTTGATTCCTATCGCAGTAATTATTACTGGAAATCTTTCTCCATTATTAATAGTATGCATTCTTCTGTCGTTCTTTATTACTGCATTCTGACATCATTAGAAAATGATTGATAGATTGAGTCAAATCATATCATCTAGATTTAGTATCATGAAACATAGGTTGTATTCATTCAGTAAAATACTGTTTCTCACTAAACATTGACTTTAGAGGTTTCTGCTGATTAATGGAACAATTGGTTTTATGAAAGCCCTCTAGTAATTCAACTCCAGTGCTTCTATCCCAGTAGTAATTTACTGGTTACAAACTATCTCTAAATATTTTGTTCTATAAGCAGATGAGATTAAAGTACAACCTGTTTTGAGGAACAAACTTATATTGTAATTATTAGTGCATAGCAATGAGAAGCATTATTATCAGTACATTTTTCAAAAGTGAAGATTAAAGTCCTTGCAAAAAGAACAATCACTAATGATTGAGTCTTGTGGTAAAAATCATGAGGGAATAGTAAGACGTGATTGTAAAGGAAGCAAAACGTTAATTAATTGGTTAACTTATCGCTCTCAAACACGTACTGATTTTTGCTATTCATAGAACAGAGCGACTTCTGAGAACCGTTGCTATCACAAAATGTTGTGACAGTAAGAAGACGTCTGTGAATCATATCTCACAGAACCATTTCTGTAGTGTGTATTTCTTCGCATTCAGCGAAATTGCAACGGAGTGCAGCCGCGATGATAAGTACAAAAAACGTTGGAAAAGTGAGGAAGAGCTTGGATGTAGTATATAAAGTTTTCATTTATTTTTTTTTACTACTGAAAGCGAAGAATTAACAAAATTGTAAATTAAGCGCATGAAATTTCATCGATAGAAAGTTGTGAATTTTATGACACTTTATGCACTGCATATTGCTTTCGTTGATTGAATACTCATCATTTCTGATAATAATAATACTAATGTGATCGTAATTTTTACGGACATAAAATTTCTTATATATTGCTAATAAAATTTCAGAATCAAAATAACATATTCACTTTCACAAGTATTCATCCCTTCATACGCAAGTGACCAGTGACCACTTCACCAACTCTACTTGCAGCAGTTCTTGTGGCATTCCAATACAATGCAAATGATACCAATAAATAAGAGAACATAAACTTTTTCCACCCTCTTGACTAAATAAAATATTACTTTCATGCGATTATATTGAACAGTCATATGGTACATTCTTTTAAAGAGTGAATCAGGTTCTTATTATGTTCATTTTACATTCCAAGCACTTCAAGTCCTTGATATTTGAATTCCTTACTGTGCTGTAGCATCCTGTGCATTTATATATTCTCTTTCCCACAGGTGGATTTTTGATTCATTTCAGTCAAGGAGTTTAGTATTAGTTATTTGAAAGGATCGCTTGTAATTTCAATTCTTGAAGTTGAAGACATTTCCATATCAATTCTGTCAGCTACGCAACTGCTGGCCTCAAACGGTGCGGACATAAAATTTCAATAAATCTAAAAATATAAAAGGTGAAAAAACAAGTCCTTAACCGATACCAATACATGATATAAAAAGGATACCTGAGCATTTTTTGGTAGCTTGAATAGGTTGAGAAATGAAGGTGCGAAATTATTGCATGCACAACCAGAAGTTTCATTTTTGTTTTCATTCATTCCTTTAACTCTCATAGTATTGAAGTAATTTAGTTTTAGATGTTTCAGCTTCTCATGTATTATTTCTGAACCAAGTTTTTCAAATTGATTTGTAGAACCTGACATGCATTTCATAGCTTCAATAAATAATAGCTGTTTTGTACAATAAAATTGCTTACACTAAAATAAACTTCTTTGTTTTATTCTGTATAGTATATTACATTTTTGTACTTAGAAATGGATTGACTACAACAAATAATCATTCATGGGAATGACTGATTTCCCAATTTATACTTCATCTTAAATAGTACTTCAGTTGAAAATAATATATTTAATGATTTTTTTTTTCCTTGAGATTTGCAGTAATGGCATGACTTATTAGGCTACTATTTAATTTGATAATTATCGTTTTAATTGTCATAGTTTTGCTATCAATAACAAACAAACATTTACTGCGAGCAAGAAAGCAGTGCTAGTAATTATGATGACATGATAATGATATGGGATTCGTTTGATGATGAAAATGAAATAATTAACCTAAACAAGTCAGTTTTGTTTTTAATGATACATATCAGTTGTTGTATTGATTCAACTGATAATCAAATGTTAATCACGATAAATTTTCATACTAATTAAATGGTAATGAGCTTTTTGGAATGTAAAATTTCTCCAAATTCAAAGCTGTAACCGAGTACTCGAATTCTTTTGACCTCATTCATTCTGTTGTTTTAATAGACAGAGTGTAAAAATTTATTGCTTATTAGGCCAAGAGACCTGACTATTTCAAGCTATGATATGGAAACAAATGCATGAAAATGAAGAAAGAATGCTAAGTGGAAGGAATAAAAAAGAGACTAGGTATGTAACTGTTAGTTGATATGAACTACAGTTGTTGCACATTTTCTGACATTCATAAACTTTCAGTTTACGATGTTCAATAATATTTTTGCAAAGAGATTCAGTAAGTTAAAAACTTTTGATATCAGAGAAAACAAAAGTGCTGCTAAGAGCATTACTTTTCCAACAATTTTTTATGGCAATGTATTTTGTTCTAAATCACACCTGTGGTTGATTGAAGTACTGCCGTCCAAAGATTTGCTAAAAGAATCTATCAAATATCTTTTTTGCAAAATGAGGTAGAATTGAAACTGCTACTCATAAAAAATCTGCAACACAGGGTTGTGAAGTAATAATACAAAAATGGTTGGCGTTGATTTTTTTTTTGAAAACAAGATTAATTTTTTGGGCTGAAAGTTTTGATATATTTCAGTTATTAGAGAAAACATAAAGAAAACGTAAAAGTTTGAGTTGAACAAAACTGTTATCCTTAGAAGTTAGTAATGAGGAAATTTAATACTTTAGAAATCTAATTGTATTTTACCTTTTTCAGTTCTTCTGAATTTACAAAAATTATAGCATGAATTTGTTTTCAAAGTTAACTCATGCTTACATATTCTTCTGCAGAACATAATTACTGCGCATTTAAGTTTGCATATCATTATAAAATTTCTGCTCTTATTGTTTACTTTTTCCTGGTCGATTTTAACTACATACAAATGATAACACAAACTTACTTTGTTTGTTCAAGCAACAACTTCGGAATCCATGACCACTTTTATCTACAATGTCCAGTAAGAAATAATATTTTCAAGAATTAAAAGTTTTATTTCATTGAAAGTTTGTTTTAAAAGTAAGAATTGCTGATTTCTTTTGATTCCGATCGCAAAAGTTTTGTGAACATTCTACAATTTATTTTTTTTCTTCAAACTTAATTTTTTGCCTTTTCAGTTCCCTACTTATTTTTCAATTTTTCATCAATTAATTCAGTGCTTAGTGCCATCATTTTGATGACAAACTACACGTGCTCAGACTTCTAAAGGTAATTTGAGTACGAGTAGTAATAAGAAATACTTTTTATTGAGTTGATTGGACAAGAATGAATACAGTTTAGTTCTTCAACAGAAAATACTCTATTGAAGAATATTGGTTAAATATTTTTTTGACCAATTTTTTCCAGAAGAGCTATTATGCATTAAAATAATAATAATAATAATAACAAATAGTTACGATAAATAATAATAATGGTTTGCACTTTATTCATGATTTATTTACATCGTGGCACATTTGTACTAGTAGTACTTAATGATGCATTGGAGCATGCTTTCTGTAAGAACATCATGATTTTTATTTAATTAAACTTCTTCAAACATTATTTAATAGCTTCTCGAATTATGGAAAAAAGTATTTAATTATGACAGTTTTTTTTTCTTTGAAACATTTATAATGACAATTATCTCTATTTTTGGCACGAAAAAATGAAGCAATTGTCAATGCAAAATAAATGCAGTAAAGAGAAAAATAATTTTCAAAGATAAAAAATTTATTCTAAATCAAATTTCAAAAAACGATAAAAGATAAAAATTTTCAAATGCTTTTTCTCTTGATAATTACATTTGAAAAAACTTGAAGTATAATTAATTTAGGTTTACACGCTGCTAGATTATTTTTCATACTTTCGCCATTTATAATATTGTTTCTTTCTGTTTGAACCATATTAAAACTTAATTTATCTGTAAATTTTTTTAAATTGCAGGCATTATTTACCTGGACATTGCTGTTTTTATTCAATAAAAAACTCCATAGCAGTTTCTGTATTGAAAAGCATTTCTCAAGCTAAATCCGAACAGCATAAACGAAATGATACGTTTGTCATCTACAATCTCGAATACCGCCTGCATGTATTATGAATAATAACAGATAAAGCACCAAACTTCAATTCTGAAATAACGCACTTATTTTCCTTTCTCCTTTCTGATCAAATTCCAAACACAATAAATTATTCATTTTCTTATTGTGACAAAACGAAAATAGAAATAAATTAAGCAAGAATTTATATATAAAATTTCATAAAACTTTTGCCTGGACGGTAATAAAAATGCTCAAAAGTTTTTCAGACCAGTCACTTTTCCATTTTCATTATCAACAACATTTCTTGCTATGCACTAATTTTCTTGGGTAAGTAAGTTCATTTCAAAATTTTTGTCATTCATTTTCATGTCTATTTCCTCTAATGAGATGTGTGAAGATTAGTTTAGAAATTTTCAGATATATAGTTAAAATTTTATCAAAGACTTCTGAATATTCATGTATTTTGTTTATAACTTTGCATACATATTGTAGGAAAAATAAAACGGAATTTGGACGTTTATTTTCTATCGCACCTTCTAGTGAAGGTTGTTCCTTTATTCTAATAAATATGGACCACATTTGAAAGAATGTTCGAAAACAGATGTTCGGAACATGAATAAGGAATATTTAATAATAATAATAGATAATAAATAGTGAAACAAGTACAATGAAGCAAAAGTGGTTTTTTCACTGTTGGCAGTATCCTTGTGAACTTTTTGTGGCTATACTTTAAAGCAGCCAGCAAACTAAAGAACTTTACATCAGAAACTTCTTGCAGATATTAAATCTGGAAAATGGTATCCAAAACACATTGCAGAACTGGATTATATTTGCAATAATATTATTATGTACTGTCCAAATGATCCAACTGGACTAAATGCTGATCATGCTGTGAGCTTGATATTTTACAATTATTCCTCATTAAACAATTGAATTACATTAGCCTCAACAAAATGAAGATGAATTAATGCTTTAATTTTACTTAATTACTTAAATACAAGTTTATTGGCATTAATTAATAAGTAAAAATTACAATTCGATCACACATCCTGTAAAAACATAATACTATTTGCTGTACTGATATATTTTGTATTATTTTCGATCGAAAATTTTATGTCAGTTGTTTTTATAGAGCTTTAAAGACAAAACCTATCGAAAAAGACGAGAATGGTTTTATCAGTTAGCAAATAATTACAAACAGTGAGTTATTTCAGACATTTTTTAAATTGGATAATTTTAAGTTAATAAGAATTGAAGAAAACACAAGCATATCTCTTCATTGCTTTTGGCTTTTAAAATATTTAGCTAACTGTTTCGTGAATGTTTGAGTTTAACTTGCTAATTAACTTCCTAACTATGCTTTTCCAAACAGTAAATAAAAGCCAAAAGTAGCTGAGCTTTTTCATTCTTATTTATAAATTGAAGTGATGTTTAGAAATTTAGACAGAATGATTTGTTCTTAATAAAGTTGCTATTTATTACTGCAGTGGCAATAATAGAACTTGAATTTTACAGTGGAACAGCGATACCAAGAATAGTCTACACAGATGAAGAAATGAAAACATGGCAAGTAAATTGAACAAAGCTGTGTGGAACTTTTTCTGAAAAAGAAGGATGAGTATGAAAAATTCAAAAACAATTTTTTTTTTGAAGTTTCAGAACAATTATTAATGTAAGATTTGATATTATTGAAAAATAATTCATTAATAAACAAGACTCATGAAATATTGGTGCTTGATAAGCAGTCTTAAGGCAAACGATATATCAGGATTTAAAAATTCTGCATCGTGAATTGGCTTGTGAAGAATTTTTGAATAATTTCAAGATGCTTGAAAGTCAGTGTGGTTACTCGATGAACCAAATTCCACAATTAGAAGACATCTCTAGTTACCTCAAAAGTATATTCTTTGATGTCTGTTGGAAATTGATTTTTTAAGAATTTTAAAATCTAAAAAAATTCGATCTGAACGATTTAACTGGATTACTTTTTAACTATAAATAATAAAGCGAGGAGATATCAAAAGATGAATTTTCAAGAAATAAATCCAAATCAAAAATAGATTATTTTTGAATGGTATTAGTTTAAAATTCCTCAGTTTTTCAAAATGTTAATACCATCTTCAGTTGATCTGTCAAAGCATCGTTCTTTTAAAAATTAAATCTAGAAAATATATTTTTTGGATTTTTAGCAAAAACTGGTTTCATTCTACGTCCATGCGGTGGCTATTTAACTCCTCGAAATTTCCTTGCTGCACTAGCATTTCGGGTATTTTGCTGTACACAATACATACGTCATGGATCTGATCCACACTATACTCCTGAGCCGTAATCTTTACTTTGAATACTTCACTAACAGTCGTGTTCAAATAAGAACAAATAATGAGAAAAAAGTATGAAAGAAGTAAATCATCGAGAAAATATTTAGTGATTTGTGTCATGAACTGCTTGGTCATATGGCAATGCTTATCAACCCAGAATTTGCGCAACTCACTCAAGAAATTGGGATTGCCAGTCTTGGCTCGTCTGAAGAAAATTGCAAAGCCTTGGCGCGGGTCTGCTTATTCTCACTTGAACATTGGTTTTTCTTAATTTTTCATTCAGCAGTGCTCAAAAATATTTCCTTTTTATAGCTGTACTTTTTCACAGTCGAGTTTGGTTTACTAACGGAAGGCCAAGAATTTGACATACAAAAGCGAAATTTAAAGGTTTATGGCGCTGGATTGTTATCTTGTTTTGACGAGCTAAAAGTAAGTGACTAATGAAAATATAACATTTATTGACCTTAAGATAGCATTGCTTTATTTCACTACGTATTAATTACTCAGTAAGAGTTATCAAAAAGTCTATAACTAAAATGATTGCGTATTTTCAGTTTTGCGTATCACGTAATGCTGTAGTTCGTCGATTTGAGCCAAAAGATGCAATTTTAATGGAACCTGAAGTCACAAAATTTCAAAATGGCTACTTTTATTCAACAAGCATTAATGAGGCGTTGAACAAGATTAAGTATGCGAATTTACAAAAAAAAAATCTTTGAGTTTATTGCGGAATGAAAATGGAAGTTTGCGTTTCAACTGAGCAACTGAGTACTTTTTGAAATGCTCCTACTACTTTCGGACATATGAATGTCTCACTATTTCATTCAATTTGTTAACGCAAATAATTTAAATCTATCTTGAAATTTTACAAGGCGCTCGAAAATCAGTTTTAGAAATTGAATCAAAAAAGTCAAATTTCTTAAATTAATAACAATAGCAATTATTTGGCATTTGATTTACAGAGTTTCACGTTGATCTACTTGCCATACATTACGATTTCATGCGTGATTTTTTGAAGCATAGAAAATGACCAAATTTTCTGTAGTTATTTGCATTTCTTTTTTTTTTTTTAAATACTTTACTTTAACTGAAATTGGGTATGCATTTTTTCATTATCTTTTTTTTGTTGATTTTTCAAAAGTTAACATTGAGGAAATCATCTTATTTAAAAAATAATTCAGTTTTTTAATTTATATTATTAAATTTTTTTCAGAACATACATTGCAGCAATGAAGAAATCACTTATATTGCAATATGATCCAGCAACAAATTCATTACGTGAAGATTATAGATGTTAGTGCAATGAAATGAATGTATCTATTTATATAATTCATAAATATTAACTGAAAGACTAAAAACCAAAAAAAATTTTAATCAGATTCCCAACAAATGACTTTTTATAAAAAGTAAAAAGTAGTTCGAAAGTCAAATAATTTTTATTGGAAAAATTTAGAGACAACAACAAATATGACTCAATTTTGGAATTTAGTTTGACTGTATCTAACTCAAAAAGCAAGTTTACAAATAAAAACTGCTGAAGTGGCAGAGAAATTGTCATTTATTGTGATCGTGTAATATACAGTATATATTTTGATCCAAAAAGAAAGAATAACTGCTTTATATACTTGTTTTTTGACAAGCTTTTTTGAAATGCTATTGCTGTGAAGTGTCATGCTACTGATTAAAAATTTATTCTAGTTTGATAATAAGTTGTAATGTTCTTGTAGTTTATAAGTAATTCTTCAGAAGATGAACTCTAAAATAAATGTCTAAAACACTATATATATAAAGCATATATATATAATGAAGTTGCATTTAACAGCATTTCTTTGGAGGTACTGAAAAATTGTATCCGTTTTCATTCTCTAATTTTCAAAAAGCGAAAATAGAAGTCTATTACATTCATTTTACATTTTACTTATAAGTCGGGCTTCATCAATAACTTTATTATTTACATCAAGAAGCATTTGGAAGTTTGGTCGGTTGCTATGGAATCTACTGAAACATCTTCCATGCCGACAGAAACGAAAAAGATGACAACGTCAACAAAGATGGCTAAGACTTCTAGGATAATTGAAACTTCTAAATCGACTAAGACTTCTAAGACCACAGAAACGGCAGAGTCTACTGATAATCACTGTAACAGCAACAATATGTGCGTAGGTCAGATGAAATCCTACAATTTTTTTGCTTAAGTCAAATCAATAGACAATTTCAAATACAGAAATTTGTGATCGATAGTAATTGTAATAATCCATTAAACAATATCACATGAATGTGCTGAATACTACAAAATGTAGTTTTTTTTTTATTTTCTTGCACGTGAAATGATAATTGACACATCGTTTTATTTTGAATAAACTTACTGAAAATCTTTTCCTGCTTACAAATTATTCAATCTACATTTTGACCTACGCAAAAATGTAACAAAGTATTTTTGTTATCATGCTTAAAATGCAAAAATAATGTAACAAAAACAAAGTATTTCATTTTTATCATAGCAGTTTGTTCTAATATTGTCAGATCTCACACTGCAAGCAAACGATCGACATCTAGATGACGCAGCTTACAGTTTTTCACAACATTTGAAGAAGCGTAGATTCCATTTTAAAACATCCATACCACACATGGTGATAGATCGCAAATGTGTGCATAGTAGTAAGCTATATTCGGTTCTGTTTTTTAATTTGCAATATTTTAAATTTCACAATTTTTACACTAATTTAGTTTTTTTTAATTATTAGAAGTACTACAAAATTTTTTGGTTTCGATAACGTACAGAGATAGATGGCATAAGTACGGATAGGCAAATAATTAGATAAGACTTCAAAAAGTTGATATTCAAATTTTAGAATTAAAGGTGCCGTAATACATTTTAAGCATGATGTTACAAATTGATTTGCTTCAAAAATTACTGATATTTAAAGTTTTTTGGTCATTTGAAAGGTTTTCACCACCATCTGTTCTAATTTTATTTGCAGACGAACAAAAAATAAATTTAAGGACTGAGAAGAGATGGTTATCAAGATCCAGAGTTACTCAGTTTGTAAGAGGAAGGTTATAATATTATTCACTGAGCATTGATAGTAGTGCATTTTTGTAGTCAATGCACAGATATGATTACTTGCAGTACTTTTTTCATATTATAAGCCAGATTTTTGATGAATTTTGTAATTGAAATCTGAGAGGAAATTTTTATCAACTGCTTTAATGGAGTCTTGAATCAGAATATTTGCAAAGTTTGTATATTATTTAGAAAATTTTTACATATCATTAATATTTTCAGTGTACATCCTGTTTATTCAGAAATAAATCAGCGTTATATTTTGAAGCTCTCTCCAGCGGGTAGTATGGAAACAACACTACTTCTAGAGGTTCATATTTGAAAATTTAAGCTCAAAAGAGAGAATCTGTACTCAAAACACCAATTGTTACCTACTTTTTACCAGTAATGAGTTTGAAATATTGAACATGATTACAGGCCAAACATTTGAGAGATAATAGAAGGACAGAAGCTGCATCTTTGCCTGTTGTTATAGATCATTTTTATCACCATATGGTATGTTGATTTTAAATTAACAAACATAGCAATAGAAATATTAATTGATACTTTTTGTGCTAAAATTCATCTTTTACAGTCATGCACCAATTTTTTCATACTTGAATACTACTCTCATGGTTCATTGGAGAATTTATTGGCCAAGATCCACCCGATTCCTCTTCACAGGCAACATATGGCAAAAATTATACACGGAGTTGCAATGGGGATATACTTTTTGCATACGTAACTGATTCACTATTACTTTCATTGTTACAATCAGTGATTAGTAAAACTCAGTGCTGTGAAATGAAACTATTTGTAATTGCACTTGATTAATACTAAAAGATAAACTATCGGTACAACTTAAATAAGAATAGTTTGAAAGAAATTAGATAAGTTTATTAATTAGGTATCAGTTTGCTTTGCTTTATAAATTATTAGATGAGATACAAAAAATTGAAATGTACAGTGCCATACATATCATTCATTTGCACAATGATCTCGAAGTACACGATCTACTGAGCATTTAGTACCAAATTCCGTTTTTTCGAGCATTACTCATTATTATAGTAGCGGAAGACTGCATTCTAAAACTGCATGTTAGTGTAGCAATATTGAAAATAATGATACTGAAGAGATGAATACTAATTTCAGGCAGTCCATTTATCATGGCAATATTTGTACTGCAAATATTTTGGTTGATGAGCAAATGAATGCTCGCTTAAGTGGTTTTTCTAAGGCTCAAGAAGTAACTCCAAATATGAATGCAAATACGCAGTTGCCTACGTATGCAGCACCTGAATGCCTGGACCCAAAGTAAACTTATTTATACTTTGTTTTTCTGTTGTAATAATTAATTTGCTTGTAACTGATCATTTAAAACAAACTACGCCTAATTTTCAAATTAAGTTATTAAGGGCTGCACCACTACCGCAAGATATGTTTGCGATCGGAATCGTATTATATCGATGTATGATTGGTCACATGCCAAAACGCAAGGCAAATAATGGAGGGGTTAGAAACAAAATATTATTTGCAATTCATAGAGATTGTAATGAGCAAATTTATTCATTGACTTTAATTGGTTTCGTTTTCTGTTGCAGATTGATTTTAGCGGATTGAAGGAGTCTTTATCAATTCCAATTGACCCAAAAATATGGTGTACTACACAACTCCTCGTATCGGAACACACGAATATGAGACAGACGGCAGGTCAATTATTGCATACTTCCTGGATTGAAGATGCTACAAAGACTCCGTTAACACAGCTTTTCAATTGGGATACTTGAAGACACTATTTATTTACTTGTGCTGAATCACGCAATACTTCTCCCTTCAGCGAATAAATTTAAAACCATGTACAACGAAAGTATATTTATATATCTGTCCAATATAACCTATCTAGCAATCTAAAATTTTGCCTATGCACTATAAAAGGCTTTAAACGTACATTTCAGAGTCTGTTTTGGATTAAAAAAAAAGCTTCATATATAAATTGCAAATAAATTATTTTAGTTTTGCTGCTTTATGTGAAGCTGCATTATTTGCTAATGGAGATTTTTTAGATATTATAAACTGATAGCGACATATATATTGGAGTTGTTGACTCCTATCACTTTATTAACAGAATATTGAGAAAAAGACAAGTAATGTACAGTTACGGTTTAATAATTTTTTCCACTGTAATCACAGTAATAAATATTGCTTTTGGCAGCAATCTGTCAAAGTAAAATGATCAGCATTCTTCATGAATCACTTCTATGGAGCTAACTCTCAAATCAATTTTATACTGAATGAAGTCACAAATTTTTGGTTTCGCTCGCATTTATTTAGGCTGAAAGGCGTTAAAAAAGTTCATTGACTTTCACGAAAGTTTGTAATCCTGGATATCATTACAATATTAACACAAAAAACTGCCATGAGAATTCAGCAACTTCAAATAGATTTAATGCAGTTTTTATGGAAGGAAGTGGAGAGGCGGAAGATGAATGGAAATTAGAAAAACTGGGAAAAAGGACTGATTTTTGTAGTAATGATTTGACTTTAGGATGAAATATACTGTTTTAGAAAGTTCAATTTAGTCTTTCTTTACTAACTACTAATTTTATGAAGCAATTCACTTTCCCTGGGAACTGAGTTTGTAAAGTATTACTGGCATTTCGTTAAAAGAGGTACAAGAGATATTACAACAAAATGAGTAAATAGTGCGAATCCTCAAAAATAAGAAACAATAACTAACTGCTTACAAATAAAACACAAAAATTGGAAGAAAAATCTTACGCATTGTTACAGAAATGCAGCGAGTAATTTATGTATTTTTAAAACCTTAGCCTATTTATAACTGTATACATAGTAGACAAATCTAAGTTTCGAAAATGAAATAATGCAAAATCATACTTAAAAAAGATAAAAAACTATCTTAGTAAAGTGTATATATAAAGTGATAAGACCGATATTGCGATCGCAGAAATTGTTGTGCAATTACAGACTTTACAGTGCTAAGTCGTTCTAGCTATGCATGCTAACTAACTTTCATGAAATAAATAAACTGTAAGTTGTTAGGCAGTCAATATTAGAAGCTGAAAACAACATACATATACACAAGAGAAATACAAATTATGCATAAAAAGGGCTTTGATATGTCATAAGGTAAAAGCTGATAAAAATATTATAATACGGTTTATTGGTGAAAAGCTCTGAGCATTTCTTCAGTGATAGCACTTATGAAAGAGATAAAAATTAAAGTTAATTATTGTGCTTATACAAAAGTGCCATTATATATCTAATTAATATTTTATTATAATTGCCATCTAAGAAATTTTTTAGTGTGCATTTTAATAAATATTGAAACTAAGCAGATATATAAAAATGATATAGAAATAAACTGCAAATTGGGTTATCTTACACTACTAAATAACTTTTACTTAGAGAAAGACAGGAATGACATCCACAGAGGTGTTATTAATCAAAATCAAGCAACTTGCTATCGAATACTGAAAAGAAGCAACTTGAAAGTGAAAACTTTCAACCTACAATAATTCATTTAATTCAATAACAAGTATATTAGCCGAAGTACATATGAAGTATATTTCATGTTTTTGATTCTAGACTCAAGTAAATCGAACTAACTATAAAGACACAGTTAATTAGCTCAAAATACATTAAAATGAAACGCATTTTGAATGAAATATTTTATACTGATGACATCGTGAAACCGAAAATACTCTGCTTTCTTTAATTCATGAATAGTATAGACAACCCAATCTCAGCAAATTTAAGACTTGCAAGAAACGAAAATCGGTAAACTTTTAAGCCTGAAGAAGTCAAAACAATAACTAACTTTCAACGGAATCAGTTTTTTCTGTTTTTCGTTCATTAATTTCTTTCAACAAGTTATTTTCGCGAAGACATTCATAAAGAGCATTTTGTAACCGCATAAATGTCACTGTTAAATCACCATTTCCTACTTTTAAGCCATTGCAAAGATACGCAAATGCTACTTTGTTAGTTAAATCCATTTTAACATTTTGTCCACCCAATCCTGGATGTCCTACTAGCCATTGGTCCTAAAATTTTAAACTGATAACTGGAATTAAGTGGCTCGCGGAATTACAGCACATCAATATGTTTTGTTTAATCTTTTCACAGCTGAACAAACATTTCAACTATAAGGATATAATAATGAACTACTAAATGTGAATTAAAATAATATAATCTTGCAATATGTTTTTTTTGCAATTTATACCTCAATATTTTTTGTGTAAAAGAATCCTTTGCCGTAAGAAACATTCATTGATAAAACTGAATCCGTTTTATTTAAAATGATAGGACTGCGAAACAATTCTTCAAGCGTTTCCATTTTCATGAGTTTTTCTTCAAGAACCAATGCATGAAGCTTAGCCAGAGCTCGAGCGGTACCTATTCCACTTGCAGATGGTATGTCCAGAGATCGAATATCTGGATTGTTGAACATAGTTGCGTTCTAAAAGCTTTTGCTAGTTATCAAATTTCTTTCCATTACTGAAATAGTTAAAATATACAAATAAAGAGAGAAAAAGTTGCATCAAAATGATTACCAATTAAAGATCAAGTGCAGATTTTTAGAAATATTCTGAAAATAACATCTTATGGTTTATTTACTTAATAAAAGTTGCAATAATTTTTTGCCATTACTCCAAATTGCATTTATTAGGCACCTTTACATCAGCCAAGGTTTATTTATGTTCATGGAAATTATAGCACCTTGGAGATCAAAATGAAAGCTTACGCTTCCCATCCATTCAAAATTCTGTTGCACACTGCGAAACATACGACTGCCAAATACATTTGGTGTATAGACAGCATTCCAAAAAAGTTTCAGCAAACCAGGATATTCAATAATTTCTCGAGCAGCTAAAATTTTTGGTGTCGTTGCGAGACGCGCAATCCTGTATTCCAATTCAGCAGGTGCTCCAATAATTAGCTCAATATCTGAAAAAAAAACCTTTCCAAAATCTTTATCGCATAAAATTTTGTGCCAGTAGCAATGAACAATTTCAAAAGAAACACTGTGACTTTGTGCAAAGAAATGAATTTCGGAATGTTTTGCTTGTAACTTTGCATATATCATCCAAGTAAGAATGAAGAAAAATAAAATATTAACAAACCGTGGAACTGAGTAACTTCCTCCTTAAAGAACTGTGATAAAGAACGTTTTTTAGGGTCAATCCTTCGAACCAGCTGATCCACTAGCCAGCCAAAGGTCATGGCATGATAACCAACCATTTCTCCCGGACTCCAATTTGGTTTTTGGTTTTCGAAAATTGCTGACATCCGTTTCCAGTCCTTGATATCTGCTTCCTCGATAACGCCATCAACAAAAGCCAGTCCACCCTATAAACTTAAATAATTCTCTTTACAGATTTTTAATGACACAAATATCACTAAACTTTGCAAATGCATTTTTTGTTATTTTCTTATGAAAAATTCACACCTGATGGGAGAGCAACATCTCGATAGTGATATTCTCTTTACCGTTTTGTCCAAATTCAGGCCAGTACTTAGTTACTAAATCTCCATAAGTAACGTGACCTTGATCAACTAACATTGCAAAGCATATCCCACAAATACTCTAAATCATGACATGCGTTTATCTCTTCTATGAATATAATGAATTATATTTCAAGCATTTTTGACAATTACTGTTTATCAGATTTTTATATTTTCGTTTTTTAACTTTCTGAAAGTCACTAAGAACAAAGAGTTTTACAAATATTAACCTTAGTACAGCTAAATAGCAATGTCATCGTATCACTTTTCCATTTACGATGTGATGCTGAATCTGCATATCCACCCCAAAGGTCGATTACTTTATCGCCTTGGAAATACACAACAAATGCTGCTCCCTCACTTTCCCATCGTTGAGTAAAATTATTGCTGAAACTTGCTGATAAATACGTTTATACAAGTAATTTAACGTACTTTTTTTTCATTTTTACCTTGTTTTTTGGGTAAAAAGTACCATGAAGACCCATTTTATTTACCAGAATATCTCTGAAAAGTTTTATAACTAATTAATCTGTCACAAAGTAATTTTGGATGCTTTTTGATAGACACTGAGACAATATTTTCTCACTAAAAATTTAAAAACTTATACAAAACAAGCAGTGCTAAATAACACATTAGTCACTGAACTTGCTTCCAAAATACGAAGATAATTAAACTACTTACTGGAAAACTTGTTTCACTTTATCAAATCGTGAATCACAATCACCATCAACAATAATTGGAAGTCGAGGCATTGAAAAGGCAGTTGAAAATTGGAATAAATTTGGAATGTGAAATAAAAATGCTGTTTGATCAATGCAGCTTTTGGTTTTTTCTGGCTGGTAATTTTGAAATTTAAAAATTTCAATCATTAATTAATTAATATCAACATGTATTGGAGAATTTTCGCTCATATTTCTATGCATGGATAACAAAATTTTTCAGTAACACCACAGTTACTTTTTCTTTACTTATCATTCAAATACTGCCAGAATATTTCCATTGAATACAAAATCACAATGAATATTATGACTTTATTTCATTTCGTTTCTAGTTTTTTGTTCTGTTTAATTACAATAATAAATCAAAAATATTACAATTTCTTTCGTAAAAATAAAACTAATTAAAATCACGAATAACTTACTTTACAACGCTATTAAATTTATGTTAGCTAAGAAAGGATAGCTATAAATGGAACGACAAAATAAAAACCAAAAAAATAACAGCTGAAAGATTTTCACTCAGCACATTTTTATCGAGGTTGAAAAAATAAAATTGATAAAGCAAAAAAAGGTGAAACCATTCTGAAATTAAAAATGTGAAACTATTCTGAAATTTTCGAACAAAAATGTTAAATGAAAAAAGGCTATTAGAGGATTAACTGAATGAGAGCTGATTTTAATTACAGTGGATGGATGAGAATCAATTTCATAGAAACGTTACATGGCTTAGCACCAAAATTACAGTTAATATCTCCCTAGACTCATGTTCAATAAAAAAATTAGACTGAATGAATGACCAGATGGAAAAAAAATGTCATTTTGAAGATGAAAACATTGATAAAAATAACACAAAGTGAATCACTAACTGTTTTGGTATGCGAGGAAACGCTCTCTATGTGTTGTCTACACAGGTTATTAGATGTAATTACATTTGTTGTGTATAAATTTAAATTATTTGTTTTTCATTGCTTCCTCTGTTTTTCCTTCTTTTTTTCTATTTTTTCGAACTAAGCGATCTTAATTAATTAATTCTTTTTAGATTTTGAGTTAAATACAAATAAAGTATGAAAAAGTGTGAGACAAGCTTTGCTATGAAAGAATTTATAACTTCGAAATATATATATATATAT